AGACAGACAACTCCTTCATTGAACAGACAGACAGACAGACAACTCCTTCATTGAACAGACAGACAGACAGACAGTCAGACAATATATAGTCATTTAAATCAGAAAAAAATTTCAAACCATATACCATGCTTGTAAGCATATGATCATGATTTATAAACGGTTAGGGTTACATCTATATTTACTCTGGTTTTATTTATATTTTATGAAATCAAAATATTACTTAAACTTGTACTCACCAGATTCTGATCAGAAAGATCCTGTCCTTTAGGTTGATCGAACTCATTGGCATGAATTATCATGCAACGTAAAGCCCATCTTGCTTCTCCTTCATTCATCTGCTTGTCAGCTAATTCCAAAATCTCAGCTAGATCCTCCCCTGTCAATTCCCTTACATTCTTCACAATATCCTTGTTAATTTTCTTGGTTTTCAAGCCTTTTTGTACCCGTGCATATTCCTTGAGCGATTTTGGTTGTCCCGTTTTTATTCTTTTAATCACTTGTATCAGCTTTATGCCAGTTAGTGAATGTCGTTTCTTGAAAACTGTAGGTAACCCCATGTGAAAACAAAAAACAGTCAATTATATATGCAATCAAACAGACCACTGAACGCGGACTTCGACGAAGACACCTTATCATTTAATACACATCACTACTCCTGCCGAAAAAATCAATATCACGTGACATGTAATTTCACACTAAATTCTTTCACTTTCTTAGTAGTCTTTTCAAACAAAGTCTTAAAAGAGCATTTCCTGCATCAGTATCTACGATAATAATATCAAATAAAAATCTATAACAACACAAGACACAATAGAAACTATATTTACCATAATATAAACAACTTATTATTCTACTTTCAAATACATGTCTCCAAAATGGCCAGAGCTCCATTTATACATAAAATATTTTAACTCGATACCACATAGCCCGGCGTTTAACTGACGCACGGCATAACAAATATCTGAACACCTGGGTTGATATATAACCACCTGCAAGGTCTTAAATCCACAAAATATAATTCCCAAAACATTTTGCCACCGAGGCAAGTCAGTATTTCTCACAATTTTTATTTTTTGCCACCAAGGCAAATGTAAAAATTTATCAAAATGACCCCCTAGGTCTATCAAGAAGCCACCAAGGCAAATATATAAATGACCACCAATGTCTTAAAGCCACCAAGGCTAGTACTTTCCATTTAATATTGCCACCAAGGCAAATGTAAGAAATTGAAAAAATGACCACCTAAGTCTATTAAGAAGCAACCAAGGCAAATATAAATGACAACCAAAGTCTTAAAGCCACCAAGGCTAGTATTTTCTATTTAAAGTTGCCACCAAGGCAATTGTAAGTAAAAGATATAGATTATAATTACTTTGCCGACAACACGTGGAGCACGACCGTCCCACAGCTTAGGTGTTGAAAGAATGAGGATGTATCACATGTACTTCCGCCAAAGACATCAACCAATGAGACTAATTGCATGATTCCTATTAATTTTCATAGAGATTTTTTTTTATGAAATTTCAAAATCATGCGTTTTTTTTTTGTTTTTTGTTTTTGTTTTTATCTTACTATTCGTCATGGATTTGCATATTAATTGTTGACGTCCGTACATTGCCCCTTAGTTCTTGTGCAGTATGATTGGGACCGTTTATTAATTGCTACATCAGGGTCGATACCTCTGCAAGTGGACTCTCAGTTTCAAGTATTGCGGGACTGATATGAAAGTACGGATGTTAACTATTAAAATTTGCCTTTATAACACCTTTGAAATCATTGAAAAGTGATGAATGTATATCCCTCTCGGAATGTTCAGATTATAGTGAGTATAAATATCTGTAAATCAAAACTTAAAAATGTATTAATATTAAAACATGCACATATATAAATTGTTCAAACCTGCTACTAAGTCATTATAGAATGCCGAAATTTAACAACAGCTTTATGCGTGTTTTCTAACTTTGGTCTTTGCTTAACCATTCTTTACCACCCGATAATTCCATCAAAATGTGTCAAATATGTTAGACTCTATAGTATATGGGGCAAATTTTCAAAATAAATAAACTAACAGTTTTTATTCTTCTTTGTTCGAAACAAAAGAATGAGTTCATCACACAAAATAGAAACATTCTTTATCAACTCGCCTCCCGGACATTTGGGCAACAATTACGCTGAGGTTAACTGAATGGTCGTTGACGTGTTTTCGAAGACACTTTATACAATCCAATGCCAGACAAGCCTTTAGTCAATCGAAATACTAGACCACGTTTCGTAGTCATTTACAATCAATTGTCTCAAAACATCAACCGACGTTGTTGCTCAATGGCATATATTACTGTTAATTAAAACGATTACATATAAACTATAACACTCAAACTTTTTTGTGCATCTATAGTTCACTGTCTATTATACAGAAGAAGAGAATGTAGTATTTTAACGACATGTTATACTGTTTACTAATTCAGCCTATCAATGATAGCTTTCAAAATACATGTAATAAGAAAAATAACAACTAAAGTTCAGACTCTGAAACTGGTTAAAAATGGTCGTAAAGGGGAAATAAATATGATAACAATTAACCGGAAAAACGTGGTAATAGTAGAAAGATCTTGAAATTTGGGTCATTTTTGCATTTTTTATTGGTTTAAATAGGTTCTGCGGTTTCACAAGATTCAAAAGAAGCTGATGAAAAACGACGATAAACAAACTGATATTAATATAAAAATAACGAGATGTGGTGTGATTGCTATCGAGACAACTATCCACCAAAGTTCTATTGAAGTGGATGTAAACAATTATTGGCAACCGTACGGCCTTCAACAATGACAAAAACCCATACAGTACAGTTTGCTGTAAAAGGCCCCGACATGAAAATATGAAACAATTTAGTTGAGAAAACGAATGACCTTATTTATAACAAAACAATTTGCGATTCACTGAACAACAGAAACATTCAAAATGTGGTGGGGTTAAACTTGTTTGAAGGTGCCAACCCTCCACTAACCTGGGAAAGTGGTGCAACGGCACACCATACAAAGCAACAAACGAAAAAAAACAAATACGAGAAACCATAACAAACGACAACCACTAAATTACAGGCTCCTGACTTGGGACAGGCAAATCTAGAACGTGGCGGGGTTAAACTATTTTGCTGGGACCAAACCTTCCCTCTAACCTGAGACAGTGGTGTAACAGTACAACACAAGAACAAACTATAAATGTCAGTTGAAAAGCACTTAACTCATCAGATCGATACAAAGCAGAAAACAATAATTTAGATGGCTAACACAAACCTTGTTTAGGTACCAAATTGTGAAGACAAACAGGTGCGACATAAATTTAGAGACATATATATTTAAAATATACTTCATACTTAAACTCTACATAGTGATTAGTGATGAACCTTATATAAATATAAAAACATTATACTTAGTTCACGTTATCAAATACTGAAGTTTCCATACCTTGGAATCACTGTAAATGGAAATAAATTCTTTATACCTGGTAAGTTAGATTTCATGTTCTTTGTGGTGTACGAAAGGCGTATGCAGTGCATGCTATACAATTCTGCCCATTTATTGGTAAGTTTGCCCATAAACCTTTGTATATGATAGGAGTAAGATAGTTTATGTATCAATCTGAGAATATGATTTGAAACTGTAGTTTGAATGCAGAAAGGGAGATTTACGAAGGATTTTGAAAGTGACATCGACCTTTCAGTTATGAATCTATTATGTAACATTCAATTTGACAATTGCGCTATTATTGCCATATATGGTTATTTTTTGCAATATCTTGATTTTATTATAACAGTCTTTAATATGTTGTATTTTGAATTACGGATTCATTATCATTATTTATTATTTTAAGGACAAATAGATTTTGATGTTCCTTTTACTACCATAATGTAACATACTGGTTGTACTGTAGATGTTAGATATATAACCTGGTTCCATAGATTGGTAAGGGTCATATTATATTGTTACTATATATCAGTTAACGTGAGTTTGATCATAGACAATAAATGCTACAGTAGTGCATATGAATTAAAAAGAATACAATAGTGAATAATTAGTAACCTTTGCATAGTAAAGATTTAATGAATGAACCTCGTTTTTGGAGTATACGATACATTCGACTTGTTTATAGTACGCTTGGTTGATTATAACGATATGCTATTTGATACGACTTATCAAACGCATGTATTTGTATTTATCAATATATAATTGCAAGTTTGTTGTGTATTATGAATATCACTGCATTCTTGATACTCAGTATAGTTTATTGTATACGGAATAGAATATTACATACAATCTTGTTACATTGTTATTTACACCAGTTTTTATATTTATAAGAGTTTAATAAGACTGTGATATTAGTTAATGTTATAAGTATATGCTATTGTTATCGCAGGGATATTTTTCTACGTTTATTTGTATAATAAAGTGTTGTGATAAAATTGTTGTTGTTTGTTACAACAATTATGTATAAAGAAGGATAAGATTGGTGGACATTTTTTCTAGCAACAAATAAAACTCGATTAGACAAAGCCCACAGCTTTGCTAGACAAAAATGATATATCTATAAAAGTGTATTTGCCGATTCTACAGAAAAAATAAAAATGTTTTAAAAAGTACGAATAACCAATAATGCCGTGACATATGTGGTCTCAAATAATTAACGTGAACAAGATAGATAGAAAAAAACATTCAGTTCTCTCATTTGTCAGTTTCTTTAAAACCGTATAGAATAAGAATGTCTTGGATACGAATAATTTCCCTTATTCAGGTTGTATTCTGGTACTCGCGACAGGAAAGTTGTGTGTAGAAAGGCATTGGAACCCTAACACACATATTGTGAGTAAATGGAACTAAAATGACTGTCATGCTATTATGAGGTTAACGTGCATTAAAACTGGGTTAACTGACCATTTGTATCGATAAGTGTCTGTACCTGTATACTAACTTAAAGGCTATTAATACTCTTAGTTAAACAAATAAAGCATTACGTATGTTTATTAACAAAAAAATCGAAAATAGTGATTTAACGTAAACAGATATTGGTAAGAAACAAGAACATGTTAGAAGTACTTTTCTTTTTATGCAAATGTAGTAGAATACAATTCTAAAAATAAACAGTTCTTTTATTCTTTTCAATAACAAAATTTCTTCTCTAACGGTTATTTTATTTAATTAACAAAATATGTTGAATTGGTTAAATCTTGTTTTTCCCACGTCGTATTTAGCAATGCCTATAAGATTAATTCAATACACATTTAACATGGTCGTTGAAGACGTCTTTCAACGGGGTTAGGAACCCCCATATTAGCCATTATCATTGTCGATTTCGTCTGTAAAATCACTAGCACAACTGTCATATTGATCAGCATCCCCATCACTAGAGTAATTGTCGCGATTTTCGGTATTTAGATCATTCTGAACTTCATCATATTGTTCCTGGTTACGATGTAGGTGTGAAATTTCCTCGTTTTCGTCTAAGTATCGTAGTTTGTATGGTAAGAGTGGGTGCATGCTAGGCCAAGGAACGTTCGGTCTATCAAATGAAGTCTTACTTCGCCGATCAACATCTGGACTACAGAAGCCATAAACTGCTTGTCGTATCATATTATCTCCAAAATATTCATTTACTAAACCCCCAAAGTCAACTTCTACTGATTGCAAATATATTTTTAATTCTCGGACAGGCTTTGATTGTGTTCTTACTTTAGAATTTTTCATTTTCGATCGGTCAGTCCATTGCGTTTGTAATCCTGTATTATTGCGCAATTTCTTTTCGGTATTATTGTTACCAACGTTTAGAGTTTTTGGTTCAGTAAACTTGTTTCTATCAGAAAGTACTGCATTACTATCTGTGTGGTCATTCACATGATTTCTAATAAGCCAGTCCGTACTTTCCTGATAAGTATTCATACCATTATTCTGAATACAATTATCGTTAATGTCATTAAAATGGTTATCGTTATCTTTTCCCGGGTCCGTAATTGAATCTTCCGGATTGATGTCGGAACTTAGCAAGTTGGTTTGTTCGAAAATGTCATTTGTTTCGAATAAACGAAGGATATCTGCTAGTCGTATTAGTTCCAGATCTAAACTATTATTTTTTATTACCTTTGCAATTGAGATTGCCAACTCTTTACTTATACCTTTCATAAATTCAATGTTGAGGTAACCGTCCGTTTCGGAAAACGCTGTTACATATATAGCTTGGTTAAACTCCTCTTGTCCTTTTCCTTGTACTTTCTGCAAAAACGCAGACGGTGAATACATTTTGTCTCTGCAAATAAAGAGCATGCACGGTTTTCTACGTTGCATATTCCCTTTCGAATATTTCAGCGATATCAGCAAACATGCTTGTTGATCTATGTATAGTTCTTCTGTGCTATAAGACTTGAGTCTAGTTTCTTCTCCCCTGTAGGTAATGGCCTAAAATGAAATGACAGAAATATTTGGACTATGAATTAATTGAATAATCAATTATGAAGTATGTTATTCACTGTTTATTTTCGACACATTTAATATGCCCTGCACTTTAAAGAATTCCTACTATACGTTCAATGTCAATGTTGACTTTAGATATTAAACAACAATCACGAAATCAGTCAAGTAGAACTTTTTTTTCTTTTTTTTTTACTGTGTTGATTAGACACTAAAACAAATGCAGTATTTATTTTTTATCAAGGGGCAAATTTCTTGAACGACAAATTTGAAATCGGTCAAACTCATCAAATTCCAATGTATATTTAGTGGACCCGAAAAAAACTATTTCTAAATTTTCAATGATTTGTCGAAGACTGCCAACGATATCGGTTGAACAAAATGGTCAATTTCCGATTTATCAAGGAACATAACTTTGGAATGAGAAAAGTAATCCTTAAAATTATAATTGGATCTTTAGAATGCGATCCTAAACTTTGAATATTTCCAATTAACAAATGATTTGATGGAATACTGAAATTATTGGGCAAAATGTATACACTAAATAATTTTCAACTTTATCAAGCCTTACGGACAAACACTGGAACGGTTGTAATTCTATTTGTCAAATTAAAAATGGGTTTGTGTTTTGTGACTGGTTTCCAAATTTCAAATGATTTGGTACAGGCTTGCAACAGTTTTTTCCGTTTAATCAAGGGCATAACTCTAGAAAAACAAAGGTCAAATTGGTGATTGTTGAACTGAATTGATGTTTATAGTTAAAGCTTTTGATGCAAAACATAATAGTTTGGATTTTCAATTACATTGTCGAATATTACATGCATATTAGGACGTGGTCATGGTCATTTGATAGGAATATCATATACCCTGCTTCGAACTTAACAGACACACTGAACTGCATTTGTTTCGTCCTAGTTCGCAGCAGTCTGCAGGAAAACATGTCATCCTACCCAGACACATTATTTATGCCTAGCTGACCAATCTTTGTTCGTGTTCATAAGTACCCCAGGTCCAGCAGAGAACAATAAATGTTATTTCTTATGTGAAGGATTTGATTGAACTTAAGAATAAGACCTCCCGTATTTGAAGTCATCACACTATCGAGTGACATCGAGGAGGTTGCACCTTTCTGAAATTTCTCAGTAACAGCTGAAAACTAATTTCGAGATTATTTCGAGCTTTTTCATTTAATTTACTTTTTCAAACACACCTTACGAAAAGTTTACATTATACCACTACACAATTAACACAATTAAGACACATATAATGCCAACTGTCTTTTGATTTTTTTTAATAAAATTGCAAAAGTTTTGAAATACTTTATAACTTAACCAAAATGTATTTGTCCGTTCACTGAATAAGGTATATGTATCTTACTATACTTAATTATTCCTTCTATGAAAAAAATTAACTTCACTTTTGAATTTGAATGCTTGCAGCCTACTGCTATTATGAAATAAAATCTAAAAACTAATTACCATACTCGAGCCTTTTTCTTGTTCTGTAAAAGAATAATACATAGTTATGTACATGCGACAGAAATTCATAAACAATGGAAATCCATTCCATTTTGAAAAGAAAATAACAACAAAATTTCAAAAGATGAATATGACACTTTTGTGTTAAGAAAGATTGAGCATCGGGCATATAAGAAAATGACAGCAGCAAGTCAATAAAGAATCCCAAATGAGATTTTTTCAATTTTAGGTCCGTTATGATGTACAATTGTAATTTCCTGATAATTACTTTTGAATGTTGTAGTCATCAAATCAATCATTCCAAAACAAAGACAAAAAGGCGACGGAATGCAAATGCAGTACTCTTAAATGTATAGTGAGTTCACAGTACAAAATGCATCATAACATGTATAGTATATACATGTTTATGTTTATGTTATCCTGAACAATGCTCCTGTGTATCTTTTTTTATCATTCAAATAATCCGACTAACCACCCCATCGATATTAGGTGTAGAATGTGAATCAAGTTTAAATACCTTTCAGTAAAATCAATATTTACTTTACTTTGGAATTCTAATGTCTGTGTCATGATTGATCAAAATTGAAAATAGTTCTCTTTTTTCCAGCCTCATATTCATTTTGAGACGATTAGTTGCATAGATTGTATAACTCTTTTAAAGCTATGATGATCTTAAATTGATTTTCATCATATTAAGCTCCTATCCCCTAACTAAACTTTCATATAATTTATGCATGTTTGTAATATACATAAATATCCGATTTTCAATATAATACAAGGTAACAAACTGGCAAATTTTTCACAGATAATTATAAGTTATTTAGTAGTTTTTACCTTTTCTACCTCTACTGGAACCAGAACTGACATTTTGGAATGGAACTGACTGACACAGGGTCTCATTCAACAAGCTTTGGATGTTGTCCAGTTGTCGAAAATGTGGATTATCTATTTAATGAAACGTCAATCATTAGACTGTAAGCATGAAATCATGGAAAGGAATGCATGTACATTTAGGCAAAGATCATATTCATTGTGTGTGTGTGTGTGTGTGTGTGTGTGTAATAATATGTTTTTTTAAACAAGATCTTGTTCCTGTACGTTATAGGAAAAATTGTTTCTTTTAGATGAAGCCTGACAAAATGTTTGCCCTCGGAAAAAAATCCCGTACCCCCACACCATAAGAATGGCTACGCCTCAAAAGATTTCGACGATTAACAAAAACAGTCGCTTTTGTCCATGCATGATACTTGTGTGCTTTATTGGTGTCAAAACGTTGATCTTCATGATAAATCATGCACATAAAAGATTCTACTATTGTTTATCTAATCTCGTCTTATGTACAAGTATGCATAGGACTGATTTTAGTAACGTTATACAAACACTGTTTTAAAAACTACATTACATGTTTATACTACATAAATATAAGGATCGGATGTGGTATGACTGCAAAATTGATTTAAACAAGTACCAAGCAGATAAAAAGAAAATCAGAACAAAATGCATAGCATAATCATGGAGATTTTCCTTTGTTTCATTATGCTACTAGTTGGACTTATATTTTGCCTAATCAATGTCGCCCATGTTAGAATATCATAGGAAGTGCTTATTTTCATACTACAAATGTATAAAGAGGTAGGGCCATTTTCCCGTGAGTTTTTTTCATTTGATTAGCTAGGTAAATCATGTTCTTAAATAGCCCGATAGATACTAATTATAGTATATGAAAACACGTCACATCATCTATTTTCATACCTTGAACAGGTATTCCTACAATAATCAAGGCCAAGACTATTGATTTTTTTTTTGTTTATCAAAACCAGTAAATGCCCCTGAGGAGCATTAAAATATGAATTATCAACTAATAGATATTTAAAATTAGTTTTGTATTAAAAAAAAAATCGTGCTTCAGTTAGCGTGTTAATATTGGTAGGTGATTTGTAGCGTACACGTATTTCACAGCTTTGTTTAACTTAAAACTAACAAAATATTAAACAAGAATGTGTCCATAGTACACGGATGCCCCACTCGTACTATCATTTTCTATGTTCAGTGAACTATGAAATTGGGATAAAAACTGTAATTTAGCATTAAAATGAGAAAGATCATATCATAGGGATCATGTGTACTAAGTTTCAAGTTGGCAGGACTTCCACTTCAAAAAACTACCTTTACCAAAAACTTTAACCTGAAACGGGACAGACGGACAAACGAACAGACTGACGAACGAAGGGACGGACGGACAAACGAACGAACGGACGCACAGACCGAAAAACTGAATGCCCCTAGGTGGCGCCTAAAAAAGGGGGTTAAATATAAATACAAGAAACATTTAATAATCTAATTATCTGATATAAATCAGCTAATCTTATTCAAGATCGGTCTCTGTTTTAATGCCAAGAAGCCAAAAAATATCGGACGCATTTAACTGGGATGTTGTTTTCCTCAATCTGGATGTATCTATATCTATACACTGTTCCAGCTTTTAAGGTTTATCGTCTATATGAACCGGATAGCAGCTTACACCACTTGGTACCAGAACGGCTTGCGTAACAAACACATGTAATCTGGTCTTTTCTGCATGGCATTGTACCAAATGGATCGACCCTATGTTGTGATACAGATTCAACACTTTCTTGATGTTTTACCTACAGTCACGATTGGTAGTGTAATTGATTTTTTCTGTGGTGTTGTTTCATTTTCTGATGACTTAGGTTCCGATGTAGGGACGGTGGTTCAATGTAACAATGCCAGTACTAGTATCTACACAGTTGGTGGATTGGCGATAAAATTACTGTCTGCATTTGTTACATATCATACCATTTTCCAAAACGTTCTTGTTCGAGATTTAGAAAAAAATGTTTTTGTTGTTTTTAATTTGTTCTGCTATGGCCTTTTTTCGTTATGTGTATAACACACACAACATTTGGGCTTCATTGCTATATAATCAATTTTCGTGTTATTGGTTATGTACAAGCACCTACTTCAGTGTGACTCTTTGAATTAAACAAACATCCGAAAAAATGTGATAGGACATAACATTTTAATATTTCAACATAAAAATGAGAAAAATTAGCGTGAGATTTGAACCCCATCTTAAAAACAATCCATTATTTACAGTTTTAAGCGCTACCGATGGAGCCACGGCGACTCTTGAATACAAAGTCGATATTAAGCATCTATATAGGTAAAATTTAGTGATGTTCCATTTTTTATTAAAAAAGTTGTTTCTTAGGTATTAAGGACACACTAAACCAATTTCATTTTTGAGGGGAAAAGTTGTATAAATTACAACAACAACAAAAAACATAACTTTGTTTTGGTTTGAAGTGTCCTTCTAGGGGGATTCCCTGTTTTCCAACCTAAAAACGCGGTAAATTCCACATATTTGACTTTCATCCTTTTTTTGGAGGTTAAATTAACTATTTTCCAGACATAACATAATACATAAAGATCGAGATATTGACCAAAAAACATTTTTGTTTCTTGTTTTTATCGTAAACTTTATTCTTTCAGCACTTTTTGAAATTGGCCCTTCTGTGAAAAAATTTCAGGGGAAATTGGCCCTACCTCTTAAATGATATGTGTTGTGTACGTGAACATGAATAAGTATGACTGCAACCCAATTAGACACATCAATAGAATATTTTATTTACCTTGTATATTCTTATCAATAAATGTTGTTTCATCTTGTGTAACAACATTCTCTAAGCTTTGTCGCTTTTTCTTCTCTGTTCTCTCTTTACGTTTGACGGTATTTTCATTTAAAACTAAAAAAAAATAACAGTAAATAAGGAATGTTTTTAAGTTTGGTAATATATTTCCTCTGCTACAGTTATATCTTAATCACAAGGCGAATCAAGTTTAAAAATATACTTTACCTGTTTATAAATCCATTTTGATAACAGTTATCATATATATTTATGTTTGCAAATATATATCCTTTTCATTCATTCACTTATTTTCAGAGGTATATTACTGCCAAGTTTAATGAGTCTGTTTTTATAGAATGTTGCACAAATATACACCCTAGAAGTGGAACTTTATCCAAGAAAAAGTATATATAAGCACTATTCTACAAGTTTTTATCACCTTCACCATGCTGTATCTATTTAACATCATACTAAAATTAAATGACTTCGAAAGTTATCTCTTTATATTAAGTCGAATTCAAAATAGTGAATGATTTTTTTTTTTTTTTGCAATGAAAACATAATTCATTGTCTTCGTTAGACTCTTTTTAAAAGCTATCGATGAATTTCTTATTATTTTATATAATAACTTACTATCAAAAAGAAGAGAATTCATAACATCATAAAGACAAAACTAAACCCCCAAAAACTCTATTAATTTGGTGCGTCGAAAGCGCTCTTCTTGATTTACAGTCAGCAGAAACACTCAAACCCACAAATTAGAAGGCCAAGAATGTATAAATACTTGATTATCTAAAGAACTATTTGACCAAGACTAACTTATACAGAATAGTTAAATCTAACTAAGGTCAACTTTGCCTCAGGTAGTTGGAATTTTAATTTCTTAAAAAATTCTAGGTAAAATTTATCAACTAAGAATTCAATTTAAAACTGTAATGTCAAAAATCATGTTAATTTTTGTGTCATTTGGTCTCTTGTCGAGAGTTATCTCATTGGCAATCATACCACATCTTCTTATTTTGATGGTATAGCAACACTGACAACTCATCAGTGACTAACAGTTTACGAATAGTAGTCCTAACTCAGTGCATGAAAATAACACTTAAAACGATATGATCATCTGAATCATTTTTATGATTGACCTTCATCAGAAACGGTCAAACCCAAATATTTAAAGCTTATACAGTACAGACAGTTGAACACTTAAGGAGCTATATGACCAAAGGGGGTAGCAAATAACAAAATTCAACGAGGATAAAAGAAGACTGTAAGAGTTGGAACCTTAGATTTTCTCTAATTTATAAATCTTACAACAGAGAATCATATCATGTCAGTCTCAAAGCACTGACTACTGAGCGTAGCAAGAATAGGTATTTTTTTTTGTTTTGCAGAGGCATAGAATTACTCACCGTATTGTTTTAAAATTTCAGCTTGGAATACAGTTCCAGCTTGAGTTTTTGAGAAGTATTTAAACTTAGAACCAGTGGGCAGTGTAATATCCAACTTGGCACGACCTGATTCTTCTGAAATAAAGAAGAAACGATTTTGAATGTGTGCACATCCAGTCAGCAGAATAGCAATGATAAGATATCATAGACCTCCGACATGTCTGATACATCTACACTTTGGTAATGGACAAGTGATACAATTTCTGTTTTTGCTACAAATGAAAGTTTGAAAGAAAAAAAAGAATAAACAAATTATATATAATTTATATATATACAAGTCTAAATTGAAAACAACGTTCAAACCTATGATTGTGTTGGATAAAAACCGCAATTTTTATACGTGTGCATGTAAAACAAATTTCTTGGTAGAGAGGTCTAAATATAGCACAAACAACATTTTTCAAAAGACCAGAAAAGTGAAAAGGTATATTTTAACAAAACGCATTTGACTAACAGGTCGAACAACAAATGTTCTTAATCCCTGCTGACTGCCATTGGCGATTGCCAAATAAACGGATCACCGATGTAATAAATGGATCTTAATTATAAATTTAATACTAAACAGAAAACAATTATAAACTTGCGGAAAAGATGGTATACCGCAAACAAAAGATGCAAAGGTTTTTGTACACCATATCCGGATTTCGACACTTAGTGTCTCTTCAGTGATGTTAGGAATCGAAACGGTATTTGGAAAACCATACAATTTACATCAATTTAGGATAGATTCTTGAATTTTGATGAGTCAAAATATGATGAATGGATCATAAAAACCCGAAGGCAAATATAATACAAACCAAAACGAAAAAATATAAACAAGTCTAAATTGAAAACAACGTTCAAACCTATGATTGCTTTGGATAAAAACCGCAATTTTTATACGAGTGCATGCAAAACAAATTTCTTGTAAGAGGGGTCTAAATACAGCACAAACAACATTTTCCAAAAGACCAAAAAAGTGAAAAAGTATACTTTAACAAAACGCATTTGACTAACAGGTCGAACAACAAATGTTCTTAAACCCTGCTGACTGCCATTGGCGATTGCCAAATAAACGGATCACCGGTGTAATAAATGGATCTTAATTATAAATTTAATACTAAACAGAAAACAATAAACTTGCGGAAAAGATGGTATACCGCAAACAAAAGGTGCAAAGGTCTTTGTACACCATATCCGAATTTCGACAATTAATGTCTCTTCAGTGATGTTAGGAATCGAAACGGTATTTGGAGAGCCATACAATTTACCTCAATTTAAATATATAATAGGTATAAGAAGATGTGGTATGAGTGCCAATGAGACAACTCTCCATCCAAGTCACAATTTGTAAAAGTAAACCATTATAGGTCAAAGTACGGCCTTCAACACGGAGCCTTAGCTCACATCGAAAAGCAAGCTATAAAGGGCCCAAAAATGACTAGTGTTAAACCATTCAAACAGGAAACCCAATGGTCTAATCTATATAAAAAACGAGAAACAAGAAACACTTATGAACCACATCAACAAACGACAACCACTGAACATCAGGTTCCTGACTTAGGACAGGTGCAAACAAATGCAGCGGGTTTGAACGTTTGATCTGGCGCCAACCTTCACCCTAACCTGAGACAGTGGTGACATAAAAGGACACACTATAAAACATTAATTGAAAAAAGGCTCGACTCATCAAAGTATGAATACTAACAGATTTTATAGAAAAGTTAAACCATGAAAACCAAATTACCAAATAGTTGAATTATAAACCACAGAAAAATATATCAAAGCCAAAACCAGTATGAAATAATTTTGCCAAACAACCGGCCACTTATGGACCCTTAAAAAATAATTTGTTGAGAAGGATCTTTAACGTGCAAATAGCGTAGTGCTCCCTGAACACGGGATCTAGGATTTAACGTCCCCATCCGAAGTCTGAAAATTATACCCAACAGTGTTAGAATTAGATTTTTATGCTAACAAATGTTTGTCCCTCTAGACCACTCGATCACATCCGCTATATAAAAAATAGCTTCAATAGTGTATATATACGTTTAATGCTTAATTGTAGAAATATTAAATTTAGATTTAAAAATATAAGGGCCCATGCAAAGAGATTAAATGTATTTTTTTTTTATATATATATATATTTCGCTAGGACTGTCCCAAATCTTAATTAATTATTTGTATTTTACCTGCATTCTTACAAGTCAGCCGTATAGTAAAATAGACGTGTTAGAAAAGTCGATACTACTGTTGGCGCTCGTGTTGGATGGAAGACGAATACAATATGATGTGGGGGTCACCTCCAAAAGTATAAATACTCTATCGTTTTTATTGTCGAGCCTTCGACTTTTGTCGAAAAAGCGAGACATAGCAATCCTACATTCCGTCGTCGTCGTCATCGTCGTCGGCGACGGCGGCGGCGGCGTCCACAAATATTCACTCTGTGGTTAAAGTTTTTGAAATTTTAATAACTTTCTTAAACTAACCTGGATGTCTGCCAAACTTGGACAGAAGCTTGTTTATGATCATAAGATAGTATCCAGTAGTAAATTTAAAAAAAATAAATTCTGGTTTTTCCGTATTTTACTTATAAATGGACTTAATTTTTCTGCCAGGAAACATTACATTCACTCTGTGGTTAAAGTTTTTGAAATTTTAATAACTTTCTTAAGCTATCCTGGATTTCTACCAAACTTGGACAGAAGCTTGTTTATGACCATGAGATAGTATCCAGATGTAAATTTAGTAAAAAGAATAATTTTTTTTTTCCGTATTTTACTTATAAATGGACTTAGTTTTTTCTGCCAGGAAACATTACATTTACTCTGTGGTTAAAGTTTTTAAAATTTTAATAACTTAAACTATCCTGGATTTGTACCAAACTTGGACAAAAGCTTGTTTATGATCAAAAGCTAGTATCTAGAAGGACAATTTGTTAATATTTTGTACCTGTCTTTTCGTATTTTACTTATAAATGGACTCAGTTTTTCTTCCAGTTAACATTACATACAGCCTGCAGTTAAAGTTTGTAAAACATTTATTAGATTCATGAACTATCCTGGATTTTTACCACACTTGGACAGAAGCTTCTTACAATCAAAAGATAGTATCGAGAGGAATATTTTTATAATTTTTTTTCCTCATTTTTGTTGAGCCTGCGATTAACAGCAAAAGTAGGCGAGACACCGGGTTCCGCGGAACCCTTACGAATGTTTACCTGTATGGGCCTGTTTGATACCGCTGAAATATGTTACTAATAGTATGCAAGACATAATCAATCGAGCATTTTTAAAGACCAAAAATTAGTCATTAAATGTGAATTTTAAAATTAACTACGTGGCATATTGAAGATAATTATAACCATACATGTAATTGTAACTATTTGATTAAAGAATGCAAAAAATAATAAAACAATACGGCAAATCTTTATCTTTTGTGGAAAAGGGGGGGCATGTTTTTTTTCCATTTTCAGAATCAACAAAATGTAAGGAACAAGATTTTTGTCCCGCCTTAACTCCCAGTGGAAACAAACTATTGTTTTACTCTCATTCCAGAACTTTAAAAAACAATCAGAATAAAACAATTTTGGAAAACACAAGTCCCCCTTTTACACAAGATGAATGCTCAATGCTTTATTTTAAAATGCAAATTTGGAATTTTGTGGTCATTTGCCTAATAACATCAACATTGTATGATTGGGTAGCATTTGTCTAATACAAAATAACTCAGTTTGTCTCTCGTCAAGTCCAGCACACAATTTAACTATTTGATTTAGTTCGTTCCTTTGATGTCTACATACAGTTCGAACGACCCTGAATGTCTTTAAACGTCTTATTGCGTGTTCAACATACACACGACACTCAGACATTCTTTTATATATTTTTTTACATTTCCTTTTTTTCCCTCGGCGTTTTCCGTCTTAATTGATGTCTCTTGTATTGTGTAACAATTGGTGCACGCTTTGCATTAATTTTATCAGTTAAGATTACATAATTTGGAGGGAAATCTAACTCCAAATTAGTCCCAATACTAGGCAAAAGATTGAATTGTAGAGTATCGTTTGATATCCAAGAAAACCACTTTTAACAAGGCGTATATGATTTTCATTGTCAACTACAATTTGTGTGTGTATACAATATACATGGCGATGTCCAGAGTAATATTCCTCCTGTGGTTCAACTTGAGGCCTGTATATGACATGGGATGTACCATCAATGGCTGCTAAAACAGTTGGAATTTTCTTACAGTTCCCATGTAACTGAAGTCATTGTTGACGACTAGGCCAGACTATATCTAATGAATATATTTCCAATAAAAGTGGTTTGAGGGCTTTATGTGAGTACATATAGTATGAGACGAAACGTCAATAAGTAAACTAAGTTATAACCAAGTTATTCAGTTCAGGATTAGCATTCCGAGATAACGGATTATCAATCCGAGATCACATATCTGCAATCCGAGATCACATATTAGCAATCCGAGATCATGGATGAGCAATGCGAGATCACGGATTATCAATCCGAGATCACAGATTGTCAATCTGAAATCACGGATTGTCAATCCGAGATCACGAATTGTCAATCCGAGATACCAATCCGAGATCACGGATTAATTATTTTTTTATGTGTCCCTTTGGGACTTCCGGTTTTATACGACTACACCGTTTAACTATTTGTTTACAAAATGTTAAAACAGTCAAGATAAATTATTCACTAGATTAATATATATTGATATACAAATTTATTTATTAAACCTTTTTTGCTTTTTAAAATATATAATTGATCTTCTCCTGCGTACTTTAATAAATATAATTGTTTAAGATTAATCTCAGCGGTATCAAAGACGCCCATACAGGTAACAAAAATGATGGAGTATTTGTACTTTATGAGATGGTCCCTACATCATAGTGGATTCATCTTCCACCAAACACGAGCGCCAGCAGTAGTGTCGACTTTTCTAGCACGTCTAATAAGACAATAATAATCATGTTATACTAGAACACACCCGCGACATCGCGGGTCCGTGACTGATTTAAAGTACCTTTACCTTATTTTTAGCCTGGATTTTTAGTATTCGTATTGTCATCTGATAAAGTCATACTAATTGTAAAGTGCACAGTTTTCTCTGCTTTGAATTAGTTATATATACAGTTGAATTCTTTGATTCGTCGTTTTTACGTCATGCCGGCTAACAAATTGGAGCTCATTATTTTAGTAGTATAGATTTGGGAAAATACACACAACAGCTGTCCAGTCAAATAAACTATATCCTTTCAAAAATTAAAAGTACGCTCAGTACACACTGTGAATTAGACCTGTATCGTTTTTAGAATTTATTTGCACATGCAGAACAAATTTAAAACCGTTATGTTTGGCAAATGAAATTTAACAATGTACACATCGATGAAAACGATACGTCCGTGAATACGACAGTACGGATGCATCCTTTATCTCCGTATGCATTTTAAAAACAAGGTGACTTACAGGAAAATAACATTTATTTTGACCACGTACAAACAAATATAACATTGAATCCTACACCTTTTCATTTAGATTTTAAAAGTTAAGTCAGAACTCCTGCCAATTTTAAACTATTTGATTAAGGTAAAATACAATGAAATGTATACAGAGGTTCCTTAAACGCATTTCATGCTTACAGCATTTTGTGATCATATTAGGCGGTTATAAAACAATGATACATATCTGTTGTTCGATGAGTTTGATTTTTTTTGGGGGGGGGGGGGGGGGGGGGGGGGATATTGCAGTACCTTAATTATTATTAGGTCATAAATAGGGACACAGAGCCAAAGGTATCTGAACTGGAATTTTCAGCTCCCTCATAGACTTTTAATTTTTCAGTTTTAAATACGTTCATATTCATTTGTTTATTTGGAAAGTTCCTTTTCGAGATGTTGACAAAATATCCATGAAAGTTTACGTACATGATAAATATGCAAATGAGGATCCCTCCGATTTCTCATTATGTTGTATGGTTTTTAAAGATGAAATAATTGCCACTGGACGTCCAATAAGCAACAATCAATAATATATTAATGAATCGTTCTGGCTACGATTACGACTGAAGATAAATGTTGCGTTAAAATATTGATGCTCCGTGTATATTTTTTTGGGGTAAGAAACTCTTCTAGTTGTCAGTTAGTCCTCGAACTTGGTATTTGAATGAAAATAACCTTTATATATTCTTAACATTTTACTCTTAACAACAACCATAAAAATCCTATTTCTCGTATCAAACATAAACTAAAAGAAATTGTTTTTGTCCCGGCTGATAAAGCTGCTGATAATATCATTATAGTTTGACGTAAATTTTACATTGAGGTTCTGCAAAAGGAAATCACGAATTCACCAACATTCCAACTGACTTCATTTTCAGAATTTTTTAACGATATCTGTAACAAACATAAACTATTAGCTACTTCTTTACAAGCAGAACCAAATACAATGAAAGTCCCAACTATGTACTGGCTTCCGAAGCTACACAAATCACCTTACAAATATAGATTTATTTCGTCTTCAAGTCATTGTTCCACTACTAAATTGTCTATTTTACTTATTAGTACACTTGGTACAATCAAAAACCTGATAATTAATTGTTAAAATAAGGCCTTTGAAAAAAGCGGAATTAACTACTTTTGGAGTGTCAAAAACTCGTTGCAAGTACTTGATAAATTGCATGCATATATTGGTGATTTTGAATCTGTTCAGAGTTTTGATTTTTCTACCCTATATACCACTTTGCCTCATATTCTTATTAAGAAAAAAATCACACACCTAATTAAATGGGCATTTAAAAAGTTGAAAGCGAATACATATGTTCAAACTCTTTTAGGTCATTTTTAGTAGCAACAAACAAAAGAGGTATGTCAATTGGACATGCTTTGATACTATATCTGCCCTTGAATTTTTACTTAATAACATTTTTGTTCGCTTTGAAGATTCCGTATATCGTCAAGTTATCGGAAATCTAATGGGGACTAACTGTGCACCACTTATTGCGGACCTGTTTTTTTTATTGTTATGAGTTACAATTTATGACTAAAATCAGCAAAGACCCATCGAAACAAAATCTGATACAAAAATGTAACAATACTTTTAGATATTTTGATGATATATTGGCTCTCAATAATGACGACTTCAGCATGTATACTAAAGAAATTTATCCTGTTGAACTTACTTTAAATAAAGCTAATACTAACAATGACCACTGTCCTTTCCTCGATCTTGATATCTATATCATTAACGGGAAGCTTAATACAAAAATTTATGATAAAAGAGATGATTTTTCATTTCCTATCGTTAATCATCCATTTTTAGATGGTGACGTTCCCTTGTCACCATCTTATGGTGTTTATATATCTCAACTTGTACGATTCGCTCGTGTATGTAACAGCGTATTAGATTTTAGCGAGAGAAGTTTATGTTTTACTGAAAAATGATTACACCAGGGTTTTCGATATCATAAACTAGTCAAAACATTTACTAAATTTTATCATCGGTATAAGGACATCATTCGTAAATATAACTCAACATGCAGACATCTTATACGTTCGGGTATTTCACATCCAATCTTTTATGGTAATATTCTTTACAAAGCACAAAAATGTCAGTATTCACTTCAAAAGCTAACAAAACCTTTAAACAGACTTATTAAGAAGGGATATAGTTACGATACTGTTGTCAGGTCATTAAAGATTGCATATTTTGGCTTTAATATTGATTCACTTATAGGGTCTTTGCATCGGAATTAAACATATTTATTCTAAAACCAGTTGTTGGCATGACACGGGTTATGTTCTTCTCATATATTTTATGATGGTATAATACTAAACCCCTAACAGGAGGGATTGTGCCTGATATTCATATGATGAAGACATAATCTTTCAATCAGTTTAATTGAGGTCTGGAGCTGGCATGTCAGTAACTGCTAATAGTCTGTTGTTATTTATGTATTATTGTCATTTTGTTTATTTTCTTTTGTTTCCTATTCTGACATCGGACTCGGAATTCTCTTAAACTGAGTTTTACTGTGCGTACTGTTGTACGTTTGTTTTTTCTACATTGGCTAGAGGTATAGGGGGAGGGTTGAGATCTCAAAAAACATGTTTAACCCCGCCGCATTTTTGCGCCTGTCCCAAGTCAGGAGCCTCTGGCCTTTGTTAGTCTTGTATCATTTTAATTTTAGTTTCTTGTGTACAATTTGGAGTTTAGTATGGCGTCCATTATCACTGAACTAGTATACATATTTGTTTAGGGGCCAGCTGAAGGACGACTCCGGGTGCGGGAGTTTCTCGCTGCATTGAAGACCCATTGGTGGCCTTCGGCTGTTGTCTGCTCTATGGTCGGGTTGTTGTCTCTTTGACACATTCCCCATTTCCATTCTCAATTTTATTAAAGTCTGTAGTAACTTGTTTCCGTGATTCTTTTTTGGTAAGTTCAGCTCTCACAACATTAGTCTGATGAAAAAAATGATTCCCGGAATGTATGGTCTATTCTAATCAGGCAATACTTGTCACAATAAACGTGTGTTTTACTGTTGTAAATCGTATGTCAACTCTTAGATACTTGACGTATGATACTTGTATGTTTTATTTTGCATTTTTAGTTTGTGGCGTTACTTTTCTGTTTCTTTTAAGTACACGTGTACCCTATATCGCCGTTCATTCATATAAGGTGCATGCAATTTGGTATCATTGGCTTTTTACGTACCTTTGTAACTAAGTATATCTAATGTCTGCCTTCCTTGTTCAACAGAAATGTCGGGATATATATAGATATTTTTGATTTTTCCATTTCCGGTAAAATAATCCACAAACATTTGAAGATAGGATTTTTTAGTAACTCGTTCTGTAAAATAATGATAATTCATATTTTGACTTACATCTAGAAATTTACAATGGGAGTTGGTTAAGAACAAGGTACACCTGTGCCTGTATGGCTCATCTGGTGGAAAACTTGCCAGTTTGGCAATAATGACTTTTATATAAACATACAATAGTTATTTTTTGTGTTGATGATCATTTTTGCAATTTACATGTCTAACCTAGCTCCATTAGTTTTTTAAGATATCAGCAAAAACTGCAAAAACGGCAAACATCAACATTTAAGGGGAAATATCTCAAAAACGTGTTGTCAAAAATATCAAGTAGATACAGCTTGTCATGCTGATCATTTTTGCTGTTTTCATTCCTTAACCTCGTTCCTATAATTTTCAAAATAACACGGACGATTGACGACAGACGACGATTGAACGGATGACAAACGGAAAGTGATGGCTAACGCTCACATGGCCGTCAAGGCCAGATGAGCTAACAAAACCAACAAAAACAGATGATTTAAGCTTCCCAATTGTGAAACTTTTCATTTCTATGTAGCAAAATTACAGGGAAGTAAACAGCAAGACTTCGCATACGTGCACCTAACGTGCACCATACGTGCCACGTGGTAAGGCCACACCAACTTGATTAATAGTTCTTTGGATTTTCCCGCTCCTGTTTTGGAGAAATTGACTTTTCAATAAAAAAAATAATTAGCGCTTCCGCAAATTTTTGGGCCGCATGCCGCTCCAAATTTAGTTTCTCCTTGAATTTTTATTTCACATAGACGTTTTTCATGTGCATATATTGCTCCGATCGATTCAAACGCACGTGTGATAAATCGAATTGTAAATAGAAGGTCAAAAATCGGGATGCCAACATGTAGTTGTGTCAGCTCATTGCCGTGGACAAGTAGTTACTGAACACACAGTTATCCGAAATGCATCTCGTTTTATCTATGAAGACCTGTTCTAGGAGACAAATATTAAAAATCTGTCTTTAAATGACCTCGATTACATCAATGTTCGTTAAAACCATCGTCACCCCCGATCATTGTTTCAACAATACATAGTCCTGAATCTGAATACATTTGTAAGTACGTTGCAGGGCCAGGATATGGCATCAATAGCAACGGAAGAGAGACGCTGGAAAATTAGTCCAACGATGTGAGAGCAACCAAAGTTTTAAAGCTCTCAATTTTCTTGGCACACACGAGATTGTTTGGTAGTCTATATTCCAATAAAAAATTGTTCTTACAAAGAATTTATCTCTAATGTTTGTTGTTTAATAGACCTATCTATCTTAAATGAAATTAATATTAAATTCCCATGAATTGTTTAAAAATCACTGATTTATCTTATTTTGATGAAACCCCACACCCCCTTGTTAGTCTATTGGTATGCAAGCACAACTCTTTTGTAAGTGAAAATTTAAGAGTTCCACCGTTCGAGACTAAAGTGGTGGTATTGTGATTGGTATACTCATAATAATTAAGGATGTGTAATTGGTTCAACCACTTCTAGTCAAACTTAAGAGTTTAAAATGCATTGCAGCTTTTAGGAGCAAAAGGAAAGAGTATTTTGCTGTCAGAATAATGCATTTGTATGTGGTGATAGGTATTTTAAGGGAATATTTTAATACATTGAGATCTACATGCATAGCAATATAACTACATTTATACTGCACTCGTTCTATTTGAGCAGTCAAAATGCGTTGACTGTATATTTCTATATCATATACAGTCACTGACCCGATATCACTTTTCCTCATGAATATTTAAATAGAAGTTGCCAACACTATATTTAATTATTCATACGACCTCTTCAACCTGTTCTTGTTTCCAATGTATACAACGACTCAAACTAATTTCTTTTACAATTTTTGGAAAACCATATTTCACCTGTTGATATTTTTTGTTTGAAACCTATAATAAATCATTATGTTTTATGCTTATTGCTGATATTTTAGTCCATACTCAAAAGAATTCGTTCACAATCAATTGTGGTTTCAACAGGTAATGTACATTTTATTGTGTTGTATATTTCTCCGCCTGATATGAGGCCTTTTTAAAGGGGGATTTTTTCCAATATTTAAATCAAATAAATAATATTAACACATTAAATAACAATTGAAAATGTTATTTTCTAGATTGCAGTATAAAGACAATAATAGTGCATTGACTTGACATATCAACGATATAAGGAGTCGGCCCGAAACGGGGAAATATCTCGGCAGATCCTCGCATTTCCCCGTTTCTAAGCCTCATCCTTATATCGTTGAGTTGAAATATTCACCTCACTCATTATGTTGATCCTTAGTATGGATGAATAGTTCCAAGTGGACATCAAGCAGCCAATAAACAATCATTACCATATATTGATATATTTAATATTTTTCAGGGGCATTTTTTGGGACACATACACATATTTAAATTTTATTCAGCATATGTCATTTACCTAACTAACATAATTCCTCTTGTTAAACTGCACCTGCAATGCTTCCTTAATATATACACATGTATGAATTTTAATGAAAATTCACGCAGACAAAGCTTATTAAAAGTTATTTGACGAAAATAATCAAAATTAACCAAACCACAGCGAGACAAGAAAGTTGGGTATGGTTCAGGCGCCAATCCATCGAATTATATGCATTAGAGCATGTTTCTTCTCCTATTTCTATGAGGTAACCCAGTTTTAACATGTACATAAATTCTAAATCGCACAATTAAAAAAAAAATATACCGCTCGCTTCACTTGTAGAGCACTCGCCTCATAAAAACTCATTTTCAAGAAAAAAATACAATCAAAAAAATTTCGCTCGCTCGCCCAATCTTTTTTGGAGCTTTTGTCCGAAGAACTACAAATCAAATTGGTGTGGCCTAAACTGTCTCAGGTCATACCTGTCAAAAAAGAATGAAATAAGACCTGGAAATATGTCGGACTGCAATGGTAAAGCAGATTATATACTGTAGGTGCAATAAATAGCTAGGAAAAAAAGTGGTTGTGATTAACAGGAAAAATGACGCAGGGTTAGCATGTATATATTAATGTATACACATGAAGCTAGACAGACGGATACGAGTTCATCATGTTTATATATCCTTCCTTATGACACGAGTAAAAAAATGCGCTCCGTCTGGAGCAGCTGGATACGACCGCAGAAGTCGAACTCTGAACAGTTGGGGCAAGTATGGACACAATATTCAAGCTTGATACAGCTCTGAATTTGGATAGTGATTAAATATTTGACACATTATAGATTTCTGACACAGAATAAATGTGGTCAGATAACTTAAAAAATTGAAATGGGACATTTAATCTACTTAATGGTCCAATATCCAAAATCTAATTCCATGGTTAGATTCAGCATATATAAAAAAAATCCATGAATTCAAACAAAGTTTAATTTTGGCCACTCTTTGACCCCTAATTCCTAAACAGTTGGGACCATAACCCCAAAAATCAACCCAACCTTCCTTTTTGTGCTATTGAACCTTGTGGTTAAATTTCACAGAGATCCATTCACTTATACTAAAGTTATTGTCCGGAAACTAAATTTCTTCGGACGACGACGACGACGACATGATAGCAATATATACGAACGTAACTTTTTTGCGGTCGTATAAAAACCTGTTTCTAACTTATATACCTTGTGCTCCTGCAAAATTGTTATTGCAGTAGTTTGGATCATCCATTTTTACCATCGTTGTTCATCCAACGTTAATGTTAATCCTAAAACAAAAGTGAATGTAAAACATTAAATGTTGTTGACGAAAATTGTGTTTGTGCAAAATTGTGATTTACATCGTGCATTTTAATATTTAAAATTACTAAATTTTCTTTCAGTTCGAGTGTTTTTGTTTGTTTTTGTTTTTATTTTTATTAAACAGTTAAAACTATTGACTAATTTTATCTTCACGCTAAAAATCTATTTTGACTCGAACTTCGGCACTGGTCGATTCTGTGTGCTATTGTCTCTTAAATATGGACAAAGTTTATTCGATGGCACTTCAAAGTGTGCATGGAAAAATTAACTTAGTTAAACACAAAATAATTGGATTGTTTGCAAATATTATACCGGGAGTTATCTAAACATTGTTTTTTGAAAACTATAGACACAAATCATCGATAACGGACTGCACTGTTGACCCAAATAAAAAGATAAGTCAAATGTTCACAATATCTTAAATCTGGATTAGCTCATTTCGTTGGGTCTCATTGCTATTCACTTATCCTTTGTGTAAATTTAATCGTTGTGTACATGCATTTACAAAAATATAGTTACATAATATGAATATACTGCTACCCGATGAAATAACTTCCGTTTTCTGTAGTCTAAAATAAGGCCGAAGCACCAATTAAGACAACCGATTGCCTTGTGAATATGGAACGCCACAGCTGTCTTATGTGGAACTCTGATATTACTTTATGTTGTTTTATTATTACTTGATGATATTTTGTCTTTACTTAATATGGTTTTGATATTACGTAATGGTGTTTTGATATAACTCAATATGGAATAGTCATTACTTAATGATATTTCGATATTACACGATATCGTTTCGTATTGACTTGATATAGTTTTGTCATTACTCAATATGGTTTTGTCATTACTCGATGTGGTTTCACCATTATTTAATGTGGTTGTGTCATTAGTCAATGTGGTTTTAACATTACTTGATGTGAATGTGACTTAACGTTATGTAGTTGTTTCATTACATGATGTGGTTTTGTTATTTCGTAATGATGATTTGCCTATTCTTAATATGGTTTTAACATTACGCAATGATGTTTCAAAATTTGACGATTTTACACTACATGATGTGTTTGTTTCATTATTTGATGTGGTCCTGTCATTCTTTGATGTGGTTATCACATTACTTGATGAGGTAAAACCACGTGACCAATTCGGAAAAAAATATGTTCTATTTTTAAACAGATTTCAATATATCGTTTGTTTAATGTGCTTTGGATGGGTATCGCTATCCATTGAGTTAAAGTTCAAATTTAAGTTGCAGTGGTTGTTCAGAGTTATTTGGTATGAAAAAGGGGAACGGCAGACAATGATAAGAAAAAAAGTATTAAAAAGTTTACACTATTTCGGACATAATTGGGATATCCCCAAACCACTTGGTCCTGTTGTTTTTATCCTAAGTTCTCAAACGGAAGCAGTATTTTTGTAATAAATTTGTAAAATATTCCACGGAACCATGTGTCTCGCCTGATATTGCTGATGTAAGTGTAAAAGCGTCATGTTGATCGTCTGTACATTTATCTATACATTTATCGGTAAAAAAAAAATGTTTTTCTGTAGATGCTTTTTCTTGAAATTGAGGAATAACTCCTATACAAGTTTTAAAACACTTCATGGAGGTTTACAAATTTATTATGTCAAAACAGTTTAATTCGGTTTTATTTAACTAAAACAAAACTGTATGGTTTTCAACAATGAGCAAAACCCCTACCCTATAGTAAGCTATAAAAGGTCCCGAAATGAAAAATGTAAAAAACTAGAAACCTAACGATCTATAGATAGATACATAGATACTTTATTCTCTAAAAAACTAAATACAAGTTTACAGAGAAACATACAATATAAATACAGGTACAAAAGTCGAGGTAAACAAATACAGTATGATATTCTAAAAGTACAAAATTATGATGGCATACATGTTTAGTAACATGACTGTATAATGAAAGGTTAAACTCAATAGAAATAAAAAAAAAATGGAGATGGTGATGCCGACGCCACTATCGACGACGAAATATAGGTTTGTTGTGTCTCACTGCCGCTACATTGATGCCGCAGGCTCGACACAAATCAAAAGACTTGAACTTTATTGTTAACAAATGAAACACTTCAAATCAACTCACACTAAAGTTACAGGGAAACGGGGGGAGGGGGGCTCGGACTAAGCGACAAAGCATCAATACTATAAAATAAGAATTTTCCGATTTTTTTTTAGAGTAAATGATCATTTGAACTTATACGAATATCAATCTTTTATTTGTAATCAATTGAATTCCCTGATCTACCTCGCACTAATTGAAAAATAAACTTTTTGGAATATCTGTTTCACATGTGACGACGGACATGTTCCAGTGGTCGTAACCATAATACCTTCATCTTTTCCTTGAATGTAAATTACCAAATAAAACCAAATCACTGAGTTTGTACTTTCTCGAATAACACGACGGGTGCCTTTCTGGAGCATCCGAGATCACCCCGATGGATTTATATTACCAAGTCATACCGATCTATTGAATCAGCCAAATGAAACTGTTTTGTATGCCACCGCAACTGAAAGTTGGGGGGGGGGGGGGGGGGGCATATTGTTTTACCCCTGTTCGTCCGTCCGTCCGTCCGTCTGTTCGTCCCATTATGGGTATATAGTTATTCCGCATAACTCCTCCTACAGTTTGAATCCTAGGAAGTTTTCTCTGTACTGTCTGTTTGTACATATATAGTGAAGGTGTGCATGTGGTCAGGGTTTAATGTTTATTAATATTTGCTCTTTTGGGAGATAGTTGAACTTTGTAATTTTTTGGGAAATTTACTTGCATAAGAAGAGCGTTTCCAGATAACTCCTCCTACAGTTTGAATGCTAGGAAGTTTTCACTCTGCTGGCTGTTTGTACATATATTGAAGGTGTGCATGTGGTCAGGGTTTTTATTTTTATTATCTTTTGCTCTTTTGGGAGATAATTGAACTTTTTTTTGTCATTTTTTGGCTATAAGCGGTTAAATGAGTTGAGTGCGGGGCATCACTTTGTCTAGTTTACATTTTTTTCTCGTGTTGAGCTGTTACACAACTGTAACAGTCCGATGTAAGGTTAGGATTTAGCGCTCACATACATGTTAAACTCCGCCACGTGCACTTTCTTTATGTACCTGCCCCAAGTCAGGAGCATGAAGTTCAATTGTTGTCGTTGTATAAATGTGTGTCATTTTTTTTTGTAAATTGTTTATTTATAAATAAGACCATTTGTTTTTTCGTTTGAATTTTTTCACATGGTGCATGGTGGCCTCTTGTAGCAGACTATACGGTGTGTTGAAGGCTGTACGGTTGCCTATATATGATTTCTTACATCCACTTCATTTAAACTCTGGTGGATAGTTGTCCCATTGTCAATCACACCACATCTAGCTTTATTTCAACTTCTATGTTGCGTTTTGTATACTGTAACATTGTTTATCTTTTGTACGCATACCCCGGAGCCCTCTTTCCGGAAGCCCGAGCAAAAGTCCTTGTTCCGCGATAGAAAATTTAATTACGAACTCATATAAGATAGCTCGAATTTCAACTCATAATCTTAATTAATCTAAATGAGACTTAAATTCGAATCTTACTCAAACTCTATCTCAAAAAGTGACTCAAATTTAATGTTCTACCTAAAACTCTACCTTTAAATGTGACTCAAACTCGAAGTCCAACTCGAAACTCAATGCTTACTAAAACTTTAATTCTAATAATGACTTGAATTCGACATGGAAATCTATCTAAAAATAGAACAGGTTTTTCCGAATTGGTCACGTGATTTTACCTCATCAAGTAATGGGATAACCACATCAAAGAATGACAGGACCACATCAAATAATGAAACAAACACATCATGTAGTGTAAAATTGTCAAATTTTGAAACATCATTACGTAATGTTAAAATCATATAAAGAATAGGCAAATCATCATTACAAAATAACAAAACCACATCATGTAATGAAACAACTACATAACGTTAATTAAGTCACATTCACATCAAGTAATGTTAAAACCACATTGATTAATGACACAACCACATTAAATAATGGTGAAACCACATCGAGTAATGACAAAACCATATTGAGTAATGACAAAACTATATCAAGTCAATACGAAACCATATCGTGTAATATCGAAATATCATTAAGTTATGACTATTCCATATTGAGTTATATCAAAACATCATTACGTAATGTCAAAACCATATTAAGTAAAGACAAAATATCATCAAGTAATAATAAAACAACATAAAGCAATATCAGTGTTCCACATAAGACAGCTGTGGCGTTCCATATGTGCATAATAATTACACATTTGAGTACACATAATACGCGCGATTCTGAATCGTGTATACCTCCATTACTGAATTGGTAAAATTTGTAAATTAACTCTTTAATATTGACTTAATTAATAATACATAATATGCTATATATAGATTCATTGATTTTCGTTTGCTCATATTGTGTGGTTGAAGATAAATACACTATTTTGAAGTATCTTGCTACACGGGTTTATGAAAGGAATGAGGATCCAAAACCACAACAGAATGGATGTAATCAATGTTACACCCCACTTCTATTGTTATACTTCATAGTTTCTATTTCTGAAACAAGTGTAAATTGAATAGATCTATTGTTACAAATAACAATGGATTTTGACCACAGGGTGTGACGAGCGGGGTTTCTGGCTTCTACATCCCGAAAATGAAGTCCATTGTTATTGAACAGATATATCATGTTAAGGAGGGGTATTTGCGAAAAATACCAGTCTAGAGAATGTTAAATTTCGCGAGCCGTAAGGCGAGGGAAATTCATTCTCAAGACCGGTATTTTTCGCAAATACCCCTCAAGAACATGCTATATCTGTCTATATTCTCCCTCACTACGTTCGTCCGAATATAAAGTAATTATATTCTATGGCTTTAACAAAGAACAAAAGATTAAATGTAGGTGTGCTACTCGCTATAACCTTTAATTCTATATCTTATGTATCAAATACAAACATGATTATTATAGTAATCATAATTACAAATACAAATATACATTAAATCATCCGTGAATACACGTGTCTCTTCTTTAGGCTATAGCGAGAGTCGATGGTCAGAAAGATGACCGCACGGGTTTTAAGTGCAAACGAATGGTCACATGTCATGAATATTCATGAACGGACAACGAACTAAATTTTATTTAATTACACCGAATGTTAACGTACAAAACGCATTGATGATCGTGACATTACAAGCGTCCAGTCGGATAGAGTATTTTTTGGCAAATACCACGGCAGAGAGGGTAAAAAAGGCATATCCTTTTTGCATATACCCCGGCGCTGTTTAAAAATGAACGATATTCATTTGATAAAAGTAAATTGGTGAAAAATATACTGCCTATCAACCAATCAAAACCCAGGATTCTTACATAAGGTGTAATTATCATTACAATAGAAATTGATTATTTTTTAAATAGCTTGAACATAAGAAATTACTAATACTGTTCACTACAAATTGTTTCAAGATATTAAAAAAACATATTTTGGGGAAATTCCAATAGCGCAAAAAAATATTAAGCATCTATTTTGAATAAAAAAAATCCTTTAAGGGAAAAATAATTTGATTGATAGCGTTGAAACTAAATAAAATTGTTCGCAATTTGCGAGAATTTTTTCTTAAAAAACCATAACCCCCCCCCCCCCCCTTTTTTGAAGTTAAAATGGTTGCTCCCTAAATACTCCTTTGCTTGGAGGTAAAAATTTTGATCCCAGTCATATGTCTCTATTCTGAAGCATTGATCTTTAAATTAAATCGGGGATTCTGACTCCCGGACCCCCCCCCCCCCCCCCCGGGATTGCCCCAAAAAAGGGACTTCCTAAATATTCAATCTGTATTTTTGTATGTTGAGCGTGTCCGGTCGTCGGATTTTTAATCCAGACACACCTATCCCTCATGAATGTCTGTTTATTCTCGAGAAGAGGGGGGAGGGGGGCTTCTTTTTTTTTATAAAGCCGTAACGTAAAAAATACATTTATGATTACCTTCATTAAACTGATACAGGTAAGTACTTTGGGTTATAATATTGCCTTTATCTTTAGTCTCTTCCACCAAATCCAACGCTTGACTCAAAATGTCGTCCGTCTTATACCCGTCCATATTGACAACTGCATACAAGGAGCATGATGTATTTTTTTTTGTAATAAGAATGCACGAAACGGTCAACCTTGAACTGCTTATCCATATTAGCACCAGGATTTAACGGGAATATGCAAAACAGCAATTTTGACATTTGTAAAATCTACTCACTTGTCAAAGTTTGAACGAACATAGCCAAAGTAAGGTTACTAGTGGGGTTTCATGTAAAAAAAATGTTTTTCTTATAAATCTTGGTTTGATTTTGTCAATGAATATGCTATCCGCTCTTTTTCATTTAATAATCAATGTTAACAAATATAGGGTTTAGCATTGGGTGTAAGTTAGTTATACACCTCGGGATACGGCGTGTCTGGATAAGAAACCCCTCCGGCCTCCGGCCGTCTGGGTTTTTTATCCAGACACACCTATCACTCGGTGTATAACTATTACTTCACATAGGAATAAGGTAAACTAGGCGAAAGGCGGTCGCTTTTTCCTGCCAGGCCTACTACCAATTAGTTGAAAATTAGCACATATCCTTGTCTGAATTATTACCAATTTAAGGTTATTGTCTCGGACAAGCACATAGTGCATTCTATGGTAATGCAGTGTCTTTCAAATATTAGTTGTCCATACTGCTCTAGTATCATATATACCCTATAGGATGACTGGAGTAAAGAAATAGGGTCATCACTTGCTCTACTTTCGGCCGGCAGTAAAACGCTTGCCAAAGAGGGGCGTCCTCCATTTGGATTATAGAAATATCGTCATCACTTGGTCTACTTTCGACCGGCAGTAAAACGCTTGTCAAAGAGGGGCGTCCTCCGTTTAGCCTTGTGGAATTTATAAATTCGCAGCTTCGTCCGTTAAATCCTATGCCTCTTGAAGACAGGTCGGCATGCTCTCTTCACGTTAAGGAACCCCCTCACCAACTCTTTTAGAGGTCCGTTACTTGCCCATTTCAAGGCTTAATATTTGTCCTCATCAAATATAATGTCATTTTCCAGTGGCATTCATAATGTCCCGCCTTCGTCCCGGAATCCCATTACAGGATCTACCTACTGTGTTAATTGCTAATATGTTCTCGTCCTGAACGTGCATAAAATATTTGGCACTGGACGTTAAGCAAACAACAATCAATCAATCATCTCATATCATGTACTGTTTATAATTATACGAAGTTTATGTTTTAACAAGTAAATATTATAAATATTAAATATATGATTTATTTGTATTTGTAGAAAAAAGTATGTTTAAATTTTATAGTTAAAAGGAAAATCAATCTGACTTGACATACAGATCTTGTGTCCAAGCTTTGCAGATTCAGGGATAATGAAAGAAAAACAAAGATGAACGAAAACAAACGACTCAGTTGTCAGTATTGTAGTGTTTGAACAATAGACAATTAATTCATAGTGACAGATAATTAAATATCTAGGTTACACATTCTCCCAAACTCTGTAATATATAATCTATTGAATGATCAGGTCAAGTTTCATCCTGTGTTTGCAGTTTGTGGTCTGTTCTGTTTCCGATATAATGAATTCTATGGTATCATGTTTAGTTTAAAGTTAGATTAGAATCAAGTCATGTGTTTGTGTCACTTGCGCGGACTTTACAAGTATAAAACAATACCAGGTTTGAAGAAAGAAATCTCAATGAATTTACCTGTTTTAAATGAATTCAAGTCATAGAATAATCATTGAAATCTTTTGGTCATGCAGTCATTTGACCTATCCATATGCTATCCTCGAGGACTATTCATAAATATTTCGTGAGAGTTTCACACATTCATTTATCAACTTCCGGATAACTTATATATACACCTCTTTCAAAAATTTCCTTTGACACGTATTGGGATTTCACAACAAAAGCCGGATTTACATGTCTTCGCGCGTACAAATTTACACAATTTGAAATTACGATTTATATTTTACACTTTGATATAAATACATGTGACTGACGCAAACTAATTAATAAGTGACGAGTATAAACATGATTCAAAAATTAAAAAAATTGAGATGTAATGATTCAACTTTGTTTACTGAAAACAATACTCGGTGACATATAAACATATAAAGATGTTTTAATCACATGAGTGCAGAATTGTTTTTCGTACAATTTTAAAGTTACTTTAAGGAAATATTTATCTTATTGATATGATACAACTTACGTGTGTGACCTTTAAGCGCCATTTCAAATGTTGTGCTAACTATTAATATATATTGATATTCAGAAAACCTATTCATTTCTATTTTTAAAATTGAAATTTCCCTGTTCCTATTTTAAGAAAATTGCACAAAGGTGCTTAAATTAAGTAAACTAATTATGTGTTAGTCAATATTTCAACGAAACTAACCATTTATTCTGTATTTCAAAATCATTCAATTTGACGAGTTGCAGAACTCAGTAATGCATTTTCGTTACTTTCAGTTTTCATATGCAGTGTCATTGCATGCGTACACTGTTTGGTCGTACGACGAAACTGTCTCGTGATTTATATGTCTTTAAATTCAGTTGCGTGTGGTTTTTCATGGAAATGTTCTCTGAAATGTTTTATTTTAATGTAAGTTGATTATATTTAAATATCTACCACAGAAAATCATTACTATTAATATATAATACAAATATCAATAATTAAACATGCATGCCTAGGGCGTTTTTAAATAATGTAATTTATGCAACAGAAACGAAAGTTGTATTTTAATATATAGTCTCTGTTTTTTCTATGTTACTCATTTTATAAAAACAGAAAGAAAATCTTTATCATGCTATTTATATTGATGTGCATTCTTTATTGAACTTTTTGATTGCATGTCAACATGGTCAATCCTACTGTTTATTTTTCTGGTTTCCCAAGCAGGTCACAATGGCCCACAACTCACAAGGCAATATATATAGACTTATTTACACGATATTACTATAACAATATGAAGATCTGGTATGACTGCCAAACGACATCCACTAAATAACAGATTCATGACTTGGGACAGGCACAAACAGAATGTGACGGGGCTACACATGTTTGCCGGTAACAAACCCTTCCCCTTATCTTAGACAGTTGTGTAACAGTATAACATAAGAATAAAATATAAACCATTTTTATTCTGATATCTTCTTAAAGTTTAACGAGGTATTAAAAAATGGTCATCACTTTCTGTTGAAACCTTCTAGAATTGAATAATAAAGAGTATAATGAATAAGAGGCCCCTCAAGGGGGTGTCCAAGTAATCACATAATCACAAAATCTTAGTTTTTTGCCAATATAATCACATAATCATTAATCTATTTTTTAAACAAGATAATCAAATAATCAAAAATACGGTCCTAGATTATCAAATAATCATGAAATATTTGGTCTGGTAATCAAATAATCACTATAAAAACGGCCAAGTAATCACATAATCAAAAACCCCATGAGGAGGCTCGAATAACTATTTAACGACCTTCCAACAATGTCCTTTAGATTCATTGAATACAAATTGTGTACGGATCTAAAATATTGCTGTAGAAGAATAAAACTTTGATACAATATTGCAATTTTCCAAGCTTTTGTAAAAGTTTAAATCGAAGAATATCAAAAATCAACAAATATATGCGACAACAACACAGAACTACTGTGATCACTGAGAACTGTATTTGCTTTATATGTATACAGCACTAAAGTCTTAGACAATTCAATGATAAAATTAACCAACATTTAAATTAACTCGCGCCCTTTAGATAATTCGGAATAAAAAGAGGGATTGCAAAAGACCCGGCATTAAGTATACACCAACCTTTGTGTGTGTTTGTGTGTGTATGTGGGGATCACTTAATTTAGATTACACAAGGAACCTTTTGGTCTTAAGAATACTGTAAAAAAATTTAAAAAAACCTTCATTTTGTTCATTTATCAGATTGTTACTACATGTCCTAGATGGTATAGTTTCTAGATCCAATACAAGGTCATTTGGTAACCAGTTTAGACTGTTTCTTATGTAAGAATATGACGTAAACTTGCATATAAAGGACGTTATAGAAGAAATTTTATGAACCCACAGCGACAAGATAGATCTGATGTAATATGTGTTTTAAGGAAATCAAAATTAAGGAATGTAACTGAACAACTAAATTGCGTTATCATAATATGTATAAGTTTCCTGGGACAAACTTGTCCAAAGACAAACACTCGCAAAATTTCTTACTTGTGAATGGCATTTATATATATATGTCTGTGGATGGGACGGATCTTAAATGCGTAATGTTGATTATTTACTTGATCTCATGAATTTTAGAAATGTTGAACATTACAAGTTTGCAATATGTGCAAAAGTTATACTATTAGCAACCCCCTTCAAAGATATTCTACATTTGTCAATTGGCCTTTTGATGAAAGCGAGAAAAAGACCCTTGCAGATGCCGGATTTGTCTACACTGGAAAGGAAGATATACTCAAATGCGAAACATGCGACAAGACTACGCGTTATCATCACTGGAAGGGGAAAAAGACGCCGAGTCAAGCACACATAGACCTTAACCGCCATTGCGAATTCGCAAAAGATACTTCAAAAGTAACCAGTCTGTACAATCGACTACATGGCCGTCCAATGTATCCGTATTATAAGGAATATCATCAACGACTTTCAAGTTATAGCTCTTGGAAGTTTGAGGCTATTCAGTCATCAAAAGGTCTTGCCGACGCTGGATTTTTTTCAACAGGTATTTCAAATAGACAATCATAGTGTATTGACCTTATATATAAAACGATAAAATGATAAGGCCCAGAAACGAGACCAATCTAAACATAAGGAGTTGAGGTATGATTGATAATGAGACAACTATCCACCAAAGTTCAAATAAAATGGATGTAAGCAGTTATAGGCAACAGTACGGCCTTCAGCATTGAGAAAAACGTATACCGTATAGTCGGCTACATGTATAAAAGGCCCCGACATGAAAACTATGAAACAATTCAATTGAGAAAACAGTGGTGTAACATCACAACATAAGAACAAACTATAAAAATCAGTTGATAAAGGCTTAACTAATCAGATCGATACAAAGCAGAAAAACATCAAACTTAAACACAGACCGGACGTGGCAGGGTATTCAATGCATGACTCAAGTCAGTACTTCATTGTTGTCTTTATACAGCATTTCAAAAAATGTTCATATCAATTTTGTATCATCATTTTTTTCTAGATATTTTGTAAAATGCCTTTTAAGGTTTTCCATGCATAGAAAACAATCTTACATTGACAGAGTAGAATAGTTACGTTTCAAAAGTTTTAAAGTTGTATGCGTTGGCTTAAGGTATTATACGGTCAGTGTCTGAATGTCAAATTTATTTTTACAGTCAACTCATTTTGACTCACTGTTCACGATTTAAGTACGAAGCTTCCTAATATATGTTAGAGGACGATGATCCCGTTCTGCATGATTCAGAACGAGCGTAAGGGATTACAAATCTGGATCAAGGGTTTTCATTCTCTTACTAAATTATTAGTTTAAGGCATCTCTTATAATTTTGGAAATTCTTATAAATTGTATATTCGACAGTTGATTAAACAAAAGTATCGTGATGAAGGTAAGAACTTTTATTCTGATGGTTTACGAAATTGGTGATTAGGGTAAGTTAATAGTTTTAATTACCACTGTCCAATCCGTTATTGCGTGATGCTTTTAACTTTTAACGTAGATACAGGAGTATCACTACAGGTTTCATATGCGTCCACCTACTCTTCCGGAGTACCTGAGATCACCCTAGGGTTTTTGTGGGATTCATGTTGCTCAGTCGTTACTAAAGAGTATATTATAAAAAGTACAAGACTTTGTCTGATTACTCAACTGCATGTTACATATTGTTGTGTAGAACTGAGCTAGCTTGACAAGATGACACTTGATTATTTTCAGAAATCGGAAATTATGCCACAGTTTCTTGTGGGATAAATTCCGATACATGAATGTGTTCCGATAGACTCTAAACTTTATTATATGATAGTATAGTATCTTGTTGTAAAACATAACAGTTAAGGATGTTCGCTACTCTGTTTCAAAAAAACAAGCTTTTTAAAAGACTGTTATAAGTTGATAGTTTATAAATAAAGGAAATAAAAAAGCAGAAAAAAATGAAGGGTACGTGTGCTTGTTTTCGAGATATAAGCGATTAAAAGTTTGGCGTGAAATAATTTTCTCTACACTTTTCATACATTTAACATTGGCACCTTGTTTCTTTCAAAAACTATGAAAAAATAACAAGGATTTTATAGGATTTTCAAATATGGTTTTTTAAATTATATGTTATAAAATTATGAAAAGAAAAATAAGGGTTAGCGGGCAAAATTTTTAATGGCACTACATAGATAAAACCATAGGATTCCGAATATCTGGAAAAATTCAAAAACAAGAGGAGCGAACATCCTTACCATATGAAATAATACATATGAGATCGCATATGACGAAAGCTCCCGTTTCAAAAATTAAAAAAAAATACATCGGAGACAACATATCAATGCAATATTTGATATCTGGAAAGAGCTACAAATGATATTTCTTTCTTTGTTCTTTATAATTGTTCTTTTTACATTGATGAAACAAAAGTACTTTTTCAATCGATCAATGTATTATATTTGATATGAAGGATCTCAAAATTAGATCGTCGGCATCCTGCATATAAGATCAATGTTCAGTTTGTTGAGAAAAAAAGGTATCATAATTTATTCTATACACTATATGGTTGTGAATCTCGGTAGCTAATTCTGCGGTTGAATATTAATTAACACGATTTTTAACACGTGTTGTTTCCATTTTTTACAGCACTCGATGGATACCGCTGCTGGTTGAATATCAGGCCCCGAGGGTATCATCAGCTTAATAGACATTATGATTTATAACAAAATACAGATCCTTTTTGGTCATCATGGTCATATAGTTATTCTTTTTTTTTTTTGGTTCTTATACATCCTTGGCTTTCAAATATTCAGGTAAATCCATAAAAGCGCTTCTGAGGCAAGAAATTTATAACGTGTGGTTTTCATCTTTTTTAGTGTCTATATCGAGTCCAAAATGTGCAATACTTTAAAAGTTTTACCAGTTAGATAAATATATCTACTTGCGCAGTCATGCTTTCAGCATTTCCTGCTTCGCTTGAGCGTGTTTGTCTTCCCATTACAGGTGAACAAGACGAAACAATATGCTTCAGTTGTGGTCTTTGGCTTACAGATTGGCAAAATGACGAGAAGCCATGGATAGTTCATGTTCGGTATTTTTCGAAGTGTCCATATATTAAAGAACAAAAAACACTATGTTTTATTAGAAACGTTCTGGAAGATTGGCAGAAGGTAATATTAACAATAGTCATGATCAGAACTGACAGCATTTAACATAAATTCAAACTATTTCAAAGGTTATGTACTAGCAACTAGCTACTGTTAGTTACACATAGCAAAACATTTTATAATTACACATTTGTTATTTTCACGTTTTTTTTTTTCAAATGACTTAATATGTTTTTTATATTCAAATGGTACCCAAATGTACAGAAAGATTTGAAATCATTCTGAATAACTTATTTATGTACATTTAAGCCATATAAGGCCTATACTGACCATCGACTGTATGTAATCAAAACATGTTAACATTGATTTTTGATCATATTACTGTGGCTTGACTGAAAAGACTGTAAATGTTGCTGTCAACCTAACCAATTGCATTTCATTTAAAATTCTGACCCAATTGCAATTTGTTTTATCCAATTAAACTATTCAACTGGTCAGAAATGTATTCATCAAAGTACAAGGTAATAAACTAGAGCATACTAACAATCCTATAAGACTTTAGGTCCACTTCATTGCTATTATGAAAATATTTCTATAAATTTTTATACAGTCATATCATTATTGTAAAGAGTCATTTGAAAGGTGAGAGGTATCAATTTTTGCATTGCAATAAAAATGTTCTCTAATTTTTGCGCTATTTTCACATTTCTTGATCGGTGTGAGAAAAATATTTCTCCGCACTAATGAAATATCTGTTCTCGGCAAATTATTGGTCGAAATTTAATTATGACGTCAAGTTTTCTTGGTTTCTTCCGAATTTCCTATTGTGACGTCATGAAAAAAGGCGACCATGCCTGATAACGTCACATCTAAAGAACACAATTTTCTGCAAATCTTTGAAAAGAAAGGATAAAAATTATTAGAGAAACAGATTCCACCCCTATAACTCGTGTATTACGATATTTCTCCACTCTCAACAGTTAAATTTTAAATATTTAAAAAGCTCGGCAAGCCTGGCGCTTTAAATATTAAAATTTAACTGTCTCGAGTGGAGAAATATCGTAACACACTTGTTGCAGTGGTGAAATCTATATTTCTAACTAAGCCTTTAATACTGTTGTTCTTAAACGTCTGCTTTATTCATAAGAATCAGACATCAGTTTAAATTAAAACTTCTTATGTTCAGTAAAATATATGTGAAACTACAATATGTTGTTAGTAAGTTTCCATTGGAGATAATCTGATATCATTGATCGTTTGACACATTAATCTTATCTCCCTTTAAAATTGCAAGAGACCATATTTAAGCTTCAAATATGTTTCACCATGTATTTTAGATATTAATTTGAAGAAAACTGTGTAGTATGCACAGAAAACACCATTTTAGGAGAAATAATATAATAAACTAAGATTTGACATTTAAAAAATCATTAACTCTCATCTTTCGAATGACTCTTTACAATAACAATACTAGTAGAAATTGTTTTCATAATAGCAATGTAGTGAAATCACCTTTGGCTTTGATGACTTGAATGTGGTTTTCTACAGCAGTTTATTAGAATTTCTGACAGTTGAAAAGTTTGGTTGCAATACAAATTGCAATTGGTTCAGAATTTTGAATGAACTACAATAGGTGGAGAGCAGCACTTACAGTCAAGTCACAGTAATAGATTTTAGTTTATGTGTTGAGGACACCAATACCACACTGTGTTTAGCTCAATATGAACACCACTTTAGACAGAGCGTTGTAGTTGTCACGGAAGGCAAGTTCCTTTCATTTAGTTTTTATCAATGTCTGTAAAAGGTAAATGTAAATCGATCAAAACCGAAAAGGACATATACATATGCCATTCTGTTTTTCTTTGTTGACACATTTGTTCGTTTTTATAGTGATTAAGATTCTAACACACTGTTGATTGCTGCACCCTGTATTTGATATTTTTTCCTATTATGTTTGTTTGTTTTGTTCACACATTATTTTCAATATAATAGAATCATATGCGACTGTCATACAAGTACAATGTAAGAGGTTTAGCTAGCTATAAAACCAGATTTAATCCACTATTTCATACATAAGGAAATGCATGTACCAAGCCCGGAATATGACAGTTGTTTTCCATTCGTTTGATATGTTTAAGCTTTTGATTTTGCAATTCAATAAGGAACTTTCCGTTTTGAATTTTCCTAGGAGTTCGGTATTTTTGTTATTTTACTTTTGAATGTGCACAACACAAAACTTTATAACACGTGTTTAATTAAAATACACCTGAACAGTAAATAGTGTCTGTTCAATAAACATGATACGTGAACCCATATATCTAACATTACATATTTCATACATGTATGGTTGCAGATTTATAGACCAATGCATCTCAACTTTGAAGACGAAACAAAACGTGCATCTTCGTTCAATTTGTTTAATGGGAGAAATGTCTGCCTTTCACCAGATAGTCTTGCCGAAGCTGGCTTCTTTCAAGGTTTCTTTTTTTTACTAATTACTATTTCAACTACCATTACAGAGAAACACTAGAGTATTCAGTAATGCCATATTTAGCTATTGCTACTTTGGCTTTGACAGATATATGGGTGTATCGATACAAAATACCGGAAAAATCTACTGAATTTTAGTCTACGGCGCAGTTATTGCTTTTTAAGCTTACTTTATGACTAGCTCTTTAAAATAAGGAAAAACATAGAATGAAACAGTCATACACATCTCTTATATGGTTTCTATATATACTAATCTGATTAAAGTTCGTCGAAGCTTATATGCGTATATCGACATCAGAGATCTACATTTTAATTATCTTATATAGATGCATAATTAAGTATACCTTTGTTCATTGCTCTGATAATTTTTCGGATCAAAACGTGACATAAATTATCAACAAGCATACAATTTTTAACATTTGCAAATCTTAATTGATACAATAAATATTTGCTTACCTGAAATCTATGTCAATGTGGTTTTGAATGAATTTGTTTAAACCAATATACTTTAAAATTTATATTTAACAAAGATGGAAACCGATTCGTAGTCTGTCATTATTGTAACATTAGACTTTTAACATGGACAACAGACGTCAATCCCTGGGAAATGCATGCCAGGTGGTCAGGTCGTGCACAAAGTGAGTGTCAATATTTGGTAATAAGGAAGGGAAAGCACTTTGTAGACTCTGTCCTGAAAAAATATGTGGTAAGTAAATGTGAATAAACAAAGCTACAGTTGTTTCTTGTCGACCTGTACGGTGTGTTTAAAGCGCCTTTAAAGTAAATAATACTATACACTGATCTATTGTCTGATTTAAACATTTTATCCAATACTGATTTATTGAGATTTTAGTTCCGGTAGGCCGATGATGATCTGTTGTACAATTATTTCAAAGAAATTTTTCGAAATTGATTTTTTTTGTCATGTCTTATCTCTACGTATTTTCGATTGGGCTTTTCTAAAAGCAATGCAATACAAACCGTTTCTTCACATTTGATGTGGAGATTGCTTTCTTTGATTTCAACAATGTCATAGATAATTTATAAATTAATTATCTAAATATTAAAAAGCTTCTACAGACAACATTACAAATATCTATTTAGGTCATACAACTCCTAACATTACTACGTATTTATACATCTCTGGCTTGAAATGTCTCAAAATGAAGGTTTATCCAAACAAAGTGATTCGAACACACACACATTACGTGTTTTTTTTCATACACAAGAAAATAAATATGATTTCATCCTTAATTTCAGTTCGCTCATCATTCATTGTTTTATCCTCTAATCAGAATGTTTTAGTTTCAAAATATGCAACTTCTACTTAAAGCAATGATTATGTTCAACTGTAGTCGATTGACAATTGTACAAAAATATAACCAACTTGACTTCGCTAAACTAGTAGTATAATCGATTATTAGGAGGAGAGGGGCTGTATGTGATATATAAACAAAAAAATGTCTAATCATATGTTAAATGACTACGTACAACTTTCTGTACGATTATATTTCTACCAACATCCATCATATCCTATTTGTCAGTCTCGGTAAATATTTCCCGTCTCTCATTTGGTCGGCAAACTAACTAACCTACCTACTAGGCTTTAATCTCGTTTTGAATTTTCACGACAAATTTGCTACTTGGACTTTGTGAAAACAACAATAAACATAAAATCAATCATCATCATTTTCTATATTTCAAATCTTTAACAACACGAGTTTTTGCTGTGCTCTTGCCTTTTTAACCGGATTTTCGAAGGAAATATCGGTTATTAAAATGGTGATATACGGCGGGCGGCTGGGCGGTTTGGCGGCTGCCAAACAGTGTCCGCACAATAACATGATAACGCTTTAACAAATCTTTTTCAAATTTAAATATGTTGTTTCCTGGGACTTAATGAAGGTCTCTATTAATTTTCAAGATTTTAGTATATCTCCTTTGTGAGTTATCGCCATTTTTAATATCCAAAAGTAGAATTTGAAAATATTTTACTGTTGATTTGTCTTATCTCAGAATAAAAATTGGAGTGACAGATTTATTTAAAAATTATCTATTTCCTAAGTGGTAATGATTATAAGCTATATCATTAGACATTCTGAAGATTATTACATTATTAATTATGTTAGAGTACTATGTTAAACAACCATAGTTCTGTTCAATTAGATATTATAAATATTTCAGCATATGATAATGATTTATTTTCATTATTAATTAGATCTTGGAAATATTTTAGAATATGATAATCATTGGAGTGACAGATTTATTTGAAAATTTTCTGTTTTCTGATAAGATCTGTAGGACTGTATATATACAGTTTAAAACTTACTAGTATTACTGTATAAATGAAGTTTGGAATTTACTGTTCATTATTAGACATTTTGTAGATAATTAAGTGTCCGTTAATCATATATATTCTTACCCCTACCCCCGTTCAATTTGATAATGTGCTTTTATCTTGTAAACGGTTGAGATCCCTACTCCTAAACCATATATATTCTTGTATGGGACAATAAAACAAATCAAATGAAATATACATGAAGTCCACGGGGGTTAAATCCCAACCCCTTCTTTTTGAAAACTTGTAAACGGTTGAGATCCCCACCCCTAAACCATATATATTCTTGTATGGGACAATAAAACAAATCAAATGAAATTTAACGGAAGTCCACGGTGGTAAACCCCACCCCCTTCTTTTTGAAAACTTGTAAACGGTTGAGATCCCCACCCCTAAACCATATATATTCTGGTATGGGACAATAAAACAAATCAATTGAAATTTAGGGGAAGTCCCCTGGGGTAACCCCCAATTTTGTTGTTGTTGAAAACTTGTAAACAGTCAAGATCCCCACCCTGAAACCATATATATTCTTGTATATTACAATAAAACAAATCAAATGAAATAAAAGTCAAGTCCCCTGGGGGTCATCCCCACCTTCTTTCTGTTTAAGAACTTGTAAACGGTCGAGATCCCCACCCCTAAGCCATATATATTCTTGTATGGGACAATAAAATTAATCAAATGAAATATAGGGGAAGTCCTTTGGGGTAACCCCTATCCCCTTTTTTTTGATAACTTGTAAACGGTCAAGATTCCCACCAGAAACCGTATATATTCTTGTATGGGACAATATATCAAATCAAATGAAATATAGGGGAAGTCCACTGGGGTAAACACTACCCCCTTCTTTTTGAAAACTTGCAAACGGTTAAGATCCCCACCCCCAAAACCATATATATTCTTGTATGGGACAATAAAATAAAGCAAATTAAATTAACCCCTGGGGTTACCCCTACTCTCCTTTTTTTTGAAAACTTGTATGTTACAATAAAACAAATGAAATGAAATAAAAGGTGAGTTCCTTGGGGTCATTCCCACCTTTTTCCTGTTTAAGAACTTGTAAATGGTCGAGATCCCCGCCCCTAAACCATATATATCCTTGTATGGGACAAAAAAAAAACAAATCATATGAAATAAAGGGCAGGTCCCCTGGGAAAATTAATCAGTTTGTGTGTGTTATATTTGAACATAAATTAAATATATAAAGGGTTCTTTCAAGTGCTGAATCTGAACTTGTTTTTAATTTGATAATAATATATTTTTATTATGAGATAAAGTTTTTGACATTGATAGATAAGTTGCAGATCTGTATTATTTTTTGACACATGAAAGAAACAATATTAGCAACTATTAATTAAATTTGATTATAATATGGAAATAGATATAACATCATATCTGATTTTAGAGAAGTATTTTGCTGGTTTTTTACTGGTTTATGGAAATAAGTTTGAGTTATTTGTTTTGAAAAGTGATGTGTTTAATTGATAGATATAAAATCATATCTAATTTTAGAAATTTATGAGTGGTTAAGTCATATCTAATTTTAGAGAATTATTTTGGTGTTTGGTACTGGTTCATGGAAATAAATTTGAGTTTTATCTTGTAAACGGTCGAAATCCCCACCCCTAAACCATATATATTCTTGTATGGGACAATAAAACAAATCAAACGAAATATTGGGGGAGTCACCGGGACCACCCCCACCCCCCTTCTTTTTGAAAACTTTAGAACGGTCAAGATCCCCACCCTGAAACTATATATATTCTTGTATGGGACAATAAAACAAATCAAATGAAATATAAGGGGAGTCCCCTGGGGTCACCTCCACCCCATCCTGTTTGAGAACTTGTAAACGGTCGAGATCCCCACTAATGAAATATAGGGGAAGTCCAGGGGGTCACCCCCACCCCCCTTCTTTTTGATAACTTGTAAACGGTCGAGATCTCCATCCCTGAACCATATATATTCTTGTATGGGTCAATAAAACAAATCAAATGAAATATTGGGGAAGTCCATGAGGGTGACCCCCACTCCCTTCTTTTTGATAACTTGTAAACGGTCAAGATCCCTACCCCGAAACCATATATATTCTTGTATTGGACAATAAATCAAATCAAATGAAATATAGAAAAAGTCCATGGGGGTAACCCCCACCCTCCTTCTTTTTGATAACTTGTAAACGGTCGAGATCCCAACCCCTAAATCATATATATTCTTGAATGGGACATTAAAACAAATCAAATGAAATTGAGGGAAAGTCCCCTGGGGAAACCCCCACCCCCTATTTTTTTTGAAAACTTGTTAACGGTCAAGATCCCCACCCCGAAACCATATATTTTCTTGTATGGGACAATAAAACAAATCAAATGAAATATAAGGCGAGTCCCCTTGGGTCACCCCATCCCCCCCCCCCTTGCTGTTTGAGAACTTGTAAACGGTCGAGATCCTTACCCCTAAACGATATTTATTCTTGTATTGGACAATAACACTAATCAAATGAAATATAGGGGAAGTCCAGGGGTCACCCTCACCCCCTATTTTTTGATAACTTGTAAACGGTCAAGATCCCCGCCCCTGAACCATATATATATTCTTGAATGGGACATTAAAACAAATCAAATGAAATATAGGGGAAGTCCAGGAGGTTACCCCCACCCCCCTTTTTTTTAAACTTGTAAACAGTCAAGATCCCCACCCCGAAACCATATATATTCTTGTATGGGACAATAAAACAAATCAAATGAAATAAAAGGCGAGTCCCCTGGGGTCACCCCACTCCCTTACATGTATGTTTGAGAACTTGTAAACCGTTGAGCTTTTCATTATTAATAAGATAATACCACATTGGGGTCCAAAGGGTCCTAAATTAAACTTTTGTTTAATTTCATCAAATATTGAATTCTTTGATTCTTTGATATGCTGATTCTAACAATGTTTGAGTGTTAAATCATATCTAAGTTTAGAGAACTTAGTCATCACTGGTTGTTGTTATTATATTATTGATTATAATTTGAAAAATTGCATCATATCTTTTTTTAGAGAACTATTTATCCAGTTATTTCCATTTGCACAGAAAATATTATGGATAAAATTAACCTGTGTTTCATTTCAACATAAATTAAATATATATATAGGGTTCTTTCAAATGCTGAATCTAAACTCTATTTAAATATTAGATTTTTAGGCCCAGTTTTCAAGTTGGTCCAAATCAGGGTCCAAAATTAAGCTTTGTTTGATTCAACAAAAATTGAATTTATGGGGTTCTCTGAAATGTTGAATCTAACCATGTATTGAGAGATTTTGGATTGTGGGCTCTTTTATCAAATTGGTCCACATTGAGGTCCAAAGGGTCCTATATTAAACTTTTGTCTGATTTCATCAAAAATTGAATTCTTGGGGTTCTTTGATATGCTGATTCTAATATGTACTTAGATTTTGGATATTGGACCATAATAGGTATTTAAATGTCCAATTTTAAATATATCAGTTCTTTGACTACATTCATTTTGTGTCACAAACTTATGATGTGTCAAATATTCAATCACAATCCAAATTCAGAGCTGTTTTAAGTTTAAATGTAGTGTCCATACTTGCTCAACTGTTCAGGGTTCGACCTCTGCAGGAAAATCCGGTTTGCTGTCTCTCTGACAGCCTCTTGTATTAAATTCAAAATGTTACTTAACTATCTTTTGAAAAAAAAACATACTCTCTCTATATTACTTACTAACTGATGCATAACCATGATGAAATATGATTTTCAAATTCTATTTAATTTTGTATTTTATATTTTTCTTATAATCATTTGTAATGTCTTATTTAATAGGACGAACAAGAGAAGATAAAGAATAAATATGGTAGGAATTTTTCTAATTAAATTAAAGATGTTGAAAACGAAAAGCCAAACAAATGTAACCTGTTGAAAGTATTTCGATAACAAAACACGGAAATCAGTACAATTTATTGACCATTTTCGTTTTCAAATAAAAATGAATCATTGCCGAAAATATAAAATGTATAAAAAAACTAATATTTTTTCGTATTTTTTGTTAAATTGAAATCCGATGATTTAAAAAAATATTATTTAAAAGTGATTTGATGAGCTCTCGTCATTGGAACTCATTCATCCGTTTAAATTTGGATAGCAATTGCATAAATATTTGTTTTTGTAAATGTTAATACCGGTTCTAGGATGGTTGAGTTTGTATTAAAATACCTTTAGTTTTATACTTAATCATTTCAAATTTCATTTTTCATTCTTAATATGTTGCATATAGATATATGATGCGTCGATCAACTTTGTTCTGCTCTTCTTCGACTGCACATATTTTTCTTGAGAGGATGATTTGTAACAAGTTTCGTCAAATCGCTAGGATTTTCATCCCAAGAATTTTCCATATCTTCAGAAAATTTCGTCTATAGGTCGAAACATTTTTAGAAAACAAAGAACATTTGAGAAATGATTTTATCTGGTGGTGAACATTTTTACTGTTGTATAACGTGATTGGTGAGAACGAAACGATTTTTACTTTGCTTCGGATGTATGCCTATTCGAATGAGGAGGTACTTTGGGGAGTTATTGTTTTCACACCCAATTTCCAGAACTATTGCTAGCACAAGAGTTGCAAAACAACATGATAAATTCTAATGAGCTGTTGACTATTAGTGTGTGTCTAAAGTTATGGAATTCTAAAGGAAAGACATTTCTGTTAATTGTGATGTTTAAGTTTCTGTTCAGGTTATTAACCAGGGTAGCCCCAGGAGTAGTTTTTTACATGCTTGTTTGAGATAGATTTGTTTCATTTCTGCAATTAAAGAGTATGAGATTGTTATTAATGGAGTAGATAATATAATTCCGAATTTGCTTTCTATGTGGAAATTATATGAATCCTTTCAGTTTGAATTTATTCATTTCACTGCGAAGTTTCAATGAAATTTTTGTTGATGAAAACAATTTCGATTTCAACATGACTTGTATTGATTTGCAAAGTAAGTAACCATCATGTTAGTCATAAGTAAAAAGTAATATAACAATCATACAGAATTCCAAGGAAAATAAAAAACGGAAAGTCCTTTATCAAATGCCAAAATCAAAAGCTCAGACACATCAAACGAATGGAAAACAGCGTACAGGCATTTACTTATTTAGAAAATGATGGATTAAACCTGGTTTTATAGATAACTAAACCTCTCACTTGTATGACAGTCGCATATAATTTCATTATATTGACAACAATGTGTGAGCAAAACAAACAGACATAATAGATAAAAATGTCAAAAATTGGGGTACCGAGTCAATATTGTGTTAATATTTTGATCACTGTGAAAACAAATAAAAACAAAAAGTACATTAGCAAAAACGAGACCGAATACAAAAAAAATAATTATAGCACAAACACACAATGGCGGAATGTATAAATACTGAGCCACGCCAAAAGTATTTTACCAAAAAATGGACTAAACAGTAAGAATTAAAGATATACAAAGACAAATAAAAAAAAGAACGCTATAACACGTAATTAAGATGATAAATCTAATTTATTGGGTACTCTAAATGATTAAGGTAAATATTTGCGCAGAACTGATATAATACACTGTGATACTATCTTAATTTCAAAATTCCTTTTTTTTAAACTATGCAGTTTGTAGAAAGATATCATGCTAGAGATTCCTTTATTTAAAACACTAAATCAGAGTTAGGCGCTTATTAGTTTGTGATAAAGTGACTTCCATTTGAATTCTCTTCTCTGGCGTTTTTGGCTTATAGAAATTAGAAAAAAAAATAAATATAAATGATATAAACATATTGAATATGTAGTTAATGATATTAGATAGGATGCTAGTAAATATTTTGGCATAGTTTTAGAAGAGGAGGTGCTCAATGCACCTTTTAACCTTTTAGGCTGATTAACCATCAGAACTTATATAATTGCAAAGTAATTGGAAAACTCGACTCATAACACTTATCTGATGTACGATTTAAAAGATAAATCAAATGTTTGCAGAAAAATATCTTAAGCTATACATGTGATATAATACACTGTGATTCTATCTTAATTTCAAAATTCCTTTTTTAAAACTATGCAGTTTGTAGAAAGATATCATGCTAGAGGTTCCTTTATTTAAAACACTAAATCAGAGTTAGGCGCTTATTAGTTTGTGATAAAGTGATTTCCATTTTGGCTTATAGAAATTAGAAAAAAAAATACAGATAAATGATATAAACATATTAAATATGTAGTTAATGATATTAGATAGGATGCTAGTAAATGTTTTTGCATAGTTTAATGGTTTACTTAAACAAATTGTGACTTGGATGGAGAGTTGTCTCATTGGAACTCATACAACATCTTCTTATATCTAATTATTAGTAAAGATTAACCATCAGAACTTATATAATTGCAAAGTAATTGGAAAACTCGACTCATAAAACTTATCTGATGTACGATTTAAAAGATAAATCAAATGTTTGCAGAAAAATATCTTTAGCTATATGATATGTTATATGGTTATTATTTTACGTTTTTAACATTATGGTAATTGTGCTTGGAAAAGCTTTGGCTAAGATGTCTCTGATTATATCAGACTTAATGTTTTCTTATCTACAAAAGTTAAAAAAAAAAATACTACCCTACAGGTCTTCGGAGGACTCACCATTGTTTCACTAAATACTAAGCCGCCGAATTATTTTTTTTTTTCAGAAATGGGTTAAATTGATATTGTTGTTAATGAAGTGATAACGATATTTTGAATTAAAGATCTCGGAATTTGAAGATAATATCATACATATAATTATTGAATTTAGAAAACAAATATTTTTATTACTATATTATTGTCTTCAACACTTTCCAGGCCGAAAAATCAAAAGATAACCGAATCTGTTTTTAATAGATTTCAATTATGGTTAGAAAAATTTGGCCTCATGTTTTTGAAAAAGTGTAGTATATGATTGATAAAAATATTTTATTGTAATTTTGGAGAAAAAAAAATCAGAATATCAGTCTAAATATGCCTCAGTTTTGCTTGAACAAATTTTGAAATTTGATTGCAAACACTTTTGCGCACATTTAATCCATACTAATTTTAATTGTAAGATTTGGGATATTGAAGTTTCAGGAGTTAGTAAGTGCTTATTTTGGGGAGATTGTTGGTTTGGTGGCAAATTATCTTGGTGAATTGGTGTTTTCAACTATGCATGTTGGTATTATGTGATTCATGCTATTCATTTGTGTATTGATCGTCTTGATCTGTATTAGCTGCTTATTAAAATCTGTCACAATCGACTATAATACCCTATGTTTTATAGTGTCTGTATTCTTGTCTATCTCGAATATTGAGGTAGTTGAAATTTCCTTTTTTTTAATAAGAATGCATAATTCACAAAAATATAAAAAAGGTAATATCTTTAAGGTTTATATTAAATCGAAATCAGAATATAGTAAAGTATTCTTGACCAAAGAAATTTTAGGATGTGATAATTCTTAATTGTGATAAACGAAGTAGAGACGGTTGAACATTTCGTTAGAGCAGTTATTAATAGCTCAATGCAAAAATTGATATACAAAGACAATTCAATTATGTATAGCGTTTTTATAGTGCATGGAAGTGTGAAAAATTGTGAGTATGAATGTTAATCATATAATAAAAAACCTCTCTTTTACCATTTAGGCTTGGTACTAAATACTTTTAGTCTTATACGGTACTATTTAAATTTAACAAAATTTTGAGTATATATAGTTGATGTGTCGATGAACTTTGTTCTGCACCTTGTCGATTGGATTAATTTTTCCTCAGAGAATGATTCATATTTTTATATAAATGAAGGGCGACAAATACCTTAAAGTTTGTGAACTAAGTTTTTATTACGGATGTTTGGTTTTTTATGCTTTGCTTTGTTTTTGTGCTATATGTTTATTTTGTAGCAATAGATTTGTGTATTTGGCAGCTTGATGTTTGTAATCTGCTTAATAATATCTGTCCCATCGCCCAATAAATATAGATTCTTACATTGATACCAGTGGATTATCGGATTTATCAAATCGAGATAGTTAAATTATCAATTTTAAAGTCCGAGCCTCGGCGAGGACTTTTAAATTTATAATTTAACTATCGAGATTGGATAAATCCGATAATCCACGAGTAACTATGTAAGAATCTGTTTCTCTAATGACTAAAAAATAAATTTTCACTTTTTGTTAAACAAAAATCCCCTTCGAGTGCCTTCCAAATTTCACAAAGTTGTCAATTTCATTAACACCTGTTAGCATATTTTGATTCATTCAGTTAGCTGATTAAGGTTATGACCCTTAAACTCGTCCAATCATCTTCTGAGATCACCGGCAACCACACGTTGATTATTTCTTTTTATACAATGAGTGCAGAAAGGTATAAATTGTCAAAGAATTAGAGAAATATAGATTCTTACATTGATACTAGTTGATTATCGGATTTATCCAATCGAGATAGTTAAATTATCAATTTTAAAGTCTGAGCCTTGGCGAAGACTTTAAAATTCATAATTTAACTATCGAGATTGGATAAATCCGATAATTCACGAGTAACTATGTAAGAATCGGTTTCTCTAATGATTAAAAAATACATTTTCATTTTTTGTTAAACCAAAACCCCCTTCGAGTGCCTTCCACATTTCACAAAGTTGTCAATTTCATTAACACCTGTTAGCATATTTTGAGCTGATAAAGGTTATGACCCTTAAATTCATCCAATCATCTTCTGAGATCACCGGCAACCACACGTTGATTAAATTTTTTTATACAATGAGTGCAGAAAGGTATAAATTGTCAAAGAATTAGAGAAAAGTTTGTATGTAATGTCTGTCTATTTCGCTTATAGAGAGAGGCAAAACATACCAAAGGGATATAAGATGTTATTATCTTAAAACGTTTTGTCATAAGAAAACTCTAATGGTATGTAAATTGATACTAATTTTCATGTAACAAGAACTTTGTTTTTCGTACAATAGATTAACAAGTAATGCACTAATTCATCTGCATTATATACAATGCTTAACTCAAATGAACCTCTCTTTAAATGTATGGAAAACATACGGCCCTCCTTTAAACGTAATCTATTCACAAAAGTCATTCCAATATACAATTATATTCTTATTTTTTTGTAGTTGTTTCATGAAACTGTGATTCTATACGAAATATACATCAAGTGAGATTTTTTTGCATGTTGAAAGCTTCATATGGTAGATTATAGAATTGTATAATCGTGGTTTATAGATGAATGGTTTGATTCCATTTAATAGTGTTGTTTATTTTCTTGACACGTCTCTGCATATTCCGTAATACAGCATGCAGGCATCATAAAAATCGGTCAAGAGTTCACACACACATAAACAGGTTATATAAAGTTGCGTGCCTCAAGTTTTGAAGTATTCGTCACATGGGAAACTAGTGGATCACAGTCTTAGATAATTGTTCATTGTGTAAACAGCTTTTCAAGCATCTTGTCAAAACAAAACAAAAACATTATTACTACTGCTTGCTTTATGTTCATATTTTTTCCATGTTTATTAATGTGATTATCGTTGGCTTATTGAAGGTGATCCCGGGGGTCTACCAATTCTAAATACTTGGGGGTCACTTATACTCATCTGAATTCTTATCATTTAGTTTCGTCTGAGTTTCATGGCACATTTTGAAATATTTCACTTGTCATTCAAAATTTTCATTCATTTTGCAAGCATTTTTAATTCAACATCTCCAACCTCAACTCAACACCTTATAACATTGTAGCCAACCGTCACGCGGATGATGAAGATGAAGCTTTGCTTCGTCATTCCTTTTTTATTTGTGTTGTTCAAGTTGAACGTAGTGTAAGGCTTGTCAGCTGGTGTACTTTCCACGAAAGAACCGGCTGCTGACAAAGTCCTGGAGCAACATTATTTTTCAGATAATTGAGTGATTTCCCAAGGCCAAACATTTGATTCTTAGTTTTATATTCATAATAGATATTTTACAATATACAGTACATGTAGTATCACTGTTCCATGATAGTTATTATTGAAATCTACAGTCTCACAACACACTATAATTACACTCATCAGCTATACCATTTGAAATTTTCTACCTCGGTTGTAACAGATGTTAAAGGTCAACATGGTTCCGCTAATGACCATACCATCACATATTGAAGTCCTACAAAGATTTTCTATATAAATTGATAATACTATCAGTAATTTATGTATGATTGATTAGGATTTTTACATCGATTGCAATTTCAACTTCGACAATTATCGTAGGCCATAAAAAAAAAACTGACTTTATAACATTGAACGCATGGCATAATCGCTATTGAAACCAATTTCACAGTTTTAATACTACATTTAACTAAATTAACCTAAGAATCGAACAAGGAAGATTTTTGTCTTTCACTCACGGAAGAGAAATTTCAGCATTAGTTTTACAAATACACACACAGAAATTAATGAATATATAAAGTGTTTTTTAACAAAAAACAGACATAAAAACAGTGTTTGCTTACTTTTTTTTTAGATGCGCGTAATTTTGTGTGATAAATTCTATAACATTAGAGTTTGTCCATCATGTTCGTTAAGGCCGTAAAAAGTTTCCCCTTGCTTGAGGTGTTTGCATCCAATAATTTAACCTACCATTTTTTGTGGAAAATGCTTGTACCAAGTCAGGTATATGGCGTTGTATTTCACTTGTTGTTTGATAGCGTTGGATTTTGTCTATTTGTATGGTCTTCCCCTTTTTGAATTTGCCTTGGAGCTGTATATTTTTGTTACACTATTTTCTTATAGTTATGGTGTATTTATTCCTGCGATGAACGTCTCTGTTGTGTGCTACATGGTTGTTTTTTTGCGGTTTTAGTGTTCTTACATTTGTTCGCTTTTAAACAGCTTTGTTGCCCCCCCCCCCCCCCCCCCAACACGTTACTAGGGACATAAAAATACCGGCGTTCGTCCGTCCGTATGTCCTTCCGTCAGTCCGTCCGTCTGGCCGTCCGTCTTTCCGTCAGTAAGTCTGTCCGTCTGTCTGTCCTGTCCGTCCGTCCGTGCATTCGTTTGCCCGTGCGTCTATTTCTCCGTGCTTCCGTCCGTCTGTCCGTCCGTGCGTCTGTCCGGTCTTGTTTGCGCTCTAACGTACAATTCTTGCCAGATTTTTGTGAAACGTATATCATAGGTTTATATCAGCAATATCTTAGACATGACGATCAATTATTTTTAAAAGAGTTATGCCCCTTAGAAACATTAATTATATGGAAAATTACTCTCGCATTTACAATTTTTTACAGATTTATATCAAATTCATATCAAATGTATATATTAATAGCAATGTCTCATAACATTTCAAAAATAAGTTCCGATGAAATATTTTTAATAAGTTTCCCTTTGAAATATTAGATATATCGGAAATCGCTCTCAAGTCTTCAACTCTCTAGTAAGTTAATTTAAAAAGTTTTAAAGAAAAAAACATTTTTTTTTAGTTATTGTCCTTGGACAGAACAGATAAAATATGTGCAACGCGGGGGACATTGGAACTTTATTCTTTTATTTCTATTTGAATATAATAGGGTCCACCGTTATGTCCTATTCATACATGTACATTATTGCGTGCCAAGTTACCCTACACATATATTGATATGTCGCAAGGTTGTTGAAATGTTTGCATTGTTTCTGTACGTACAGTAAATTTGTTAGGCATTTTATGACAGTATTTGCTAGATGTTAGGTTGGATAATCTTTTTTCAAGCAAATAGTTCCTTTCCGGTGCTAATTATAAGAATTATAAGAATCAGCTTGAATTTTCATTCAGGTGAGTTTAAGTTACAATGAGTACGATGACCTAGTAATGAAATGTAAAATTATAAAACAACACACTAAAAGCTTATTACACGAGCCAAATATTTATTCAAAACTTAGCTTACAAGTCTCTTCTACATAACATGTCTTGCACAGTAAGTAACACAACTTTTTGAATATATACAGAATATAATTGTCAGGTGTAAGACGCTAAGACGCTAAGAACTACTGTTACCTATTCTTAAGTCTAGTTTATTATCGTAATCAAAAGGTTACAATGTACTGTCTTTTTCAATATTTGAGAATAAATTTTGATTTTTTTTTTAGACAAAGGAGGAAAAAGCAGATGCACGTCAGATATATGCGATAGTCTTAAAGATAATGTTCCACTTCGAAATGAAAGTGAAGTTTGTACATATAACGATATCCTTAAAGGCAATTGCATTACATGTAAAAACGAAAAAGCAACTACTTTATTTCTTAAATGTGGCCATAGAATCACTTGTCACAAGTGTTCTCTTTCATTTACCAAATGTCCGTATTGTGAAACCAATGTTAAAAGTAGAATTATAACACAATTATAAAATATCCAATCACCAACAGCGAACATTTTTCTATGATTTTTAGTATACACAAGTCTCTTTATTCTGCAACTATATAACTGTTTTCATATGATGATATTTAAAATTTTATCTAAAACCATGTCGTCCTTAGAATGAAAAGTGAAAATCGATATCGATCAAAGATATGATGGATAGAAATCTTTTGAACTCGTTTCACAGTCGGGAAATAAAGATCTAAGACCAGGTAACTGAAAAAATTATGTTAACTAGATAGAAATGTTTGCATTGGGTTTGAATTTTTGTTGATATAACAAGTTTGGAATACAATTATATGAAACAGGAAACATTTGGTGAATCAAATTTAGTTTCATTGATGGAAGAAGTTCAAGTGAAAGCTCAGGACCAATTACGACATGTACGACTTAACTGAATTCTGAACTAAATGTTGGAAATGCAGAGAGACTTTTTATTTCAGTCGCTGTATATCTTGATTGTGCCATAAAAAATAATGACACTACACGAAAGGTAAGTGCGCTATACAGTTAAAAGATTAAATTTCTAAAAATAAATTCTGGAAGCGTAAAAAAAAACCAAGTAGGAGATTTAAGAGAATTAAAAGGGAGAACAACCCATATCAGCCGACCACAATGGTATCTTTACAATGAAAAATCCAGTTGCTATAATTGTTTTGCCCAGTTTATCTGTCTCTACTCTTGAAGACGATATATGCGTATAGGAGAATATATAAGCTGTAAGAATCGACAATTGTAAGGTTGTTGCCATAACAAGAATGAAGAGGTCAGAAAATCTGTGTTTCCAAATGACCAGACAAATCTTAGTAACCATCTTGCAGACTTTTCAGGATATGAGTTGCAGCATAAAGAGTAAGTCATGTATAACTCCAAGGTAAATTCAAGAAGGAGCAAGTCCATAAAACATGACAAAATCAAACGCTCGACTTTTTCAACCAATGGAACGAATGGCAAAGAACTGTCACAAACTTGACTTTATGAAGGCATTTTCGGAAGAAAATGGTGGGTTAAAACCAGATTAATAGCTATCTTAACTCTCACTTGTATGACTGTTTTTTTTTATAGTTTAGTTATATTGACAATATTGGGTGAGCAACCCAAAAAGAAATAATTGGTTAACGTAACAATAATTGGGATGGAGCAGCTAAAACTGTGTAAACATACATCACTGGCATACAAAAACAACTGATTTAAAGATTCAAACAAACATACAAAATAATCAGACAATGATGACAAGAAAAACAGATTTTTGTAGTTGATGGTACATACTGTATAGTTAAACATAATTTCATACACAATTCCCCAAAAAGTACACAATAATTGAAATATGAATATGGTAAACAAAATGAAAGCAACGCTATAAAAATCTCATTTTTCCGAGTCACGTCAAGCATGTCAAGAGTCATACGACCAGAAGGAACATAATAGTACAACATGTACAAAGACAAATACAGTGAAAACTGAAAAAAAAAAATTAAATGATACTCAACGTTAGCACTTGAAATCTATACCTCAAGATCGTACTGTATGATTTGTGAAGTAGATATTGAATATTTATCTTTTAGGTCTTTTACGTTCCGATGAACTTTAACAAAAGGAAAAGACGTTCTTTGAAGAAACTCTGGCTCATCATTGTTTGCCCAGTCACCGATGACGTTTTACAAAGTCTAAGTAGCAGCTGCAAGCTCTTGAATATGTTGAATATCGTATGAGTTGATAAATGTATACTCTGTATGCGGTTGATGTTGGACTATTGCTGCTAAGATGAGGTAAATTATTAATTTCAAAATTGTCATGTTACTTGAGTGAGTTGGCATTTTCAACGCCTTTTCTGTTGTCCTGATTTTTCTACATCTATTCTTTTGAAGATTAAAAATTTTGGATGTCATTTTTATTGTCCATATCTTGTACTGATTGAACAAAATTATATTAATGTGTTTTTTCCTTGAAAATTAATGGCTTTATTATTCTTTTACTATTCAGTTGGCATAAACAGAAATAAGCTCATCTGACAACACCAACACTTCATTTGAGGTTCCAATATAAACTTTATTTGATTGATATAAATACGAATTATTAAGATGTTTGCCAAACGTAATCGAGACGGCAACCCAGCGAGAAAAGATGGTCAGATAGTCCAAAAAGGTCTTCAGTAAACCACTGACAAGTGCCTGCATAGTTTGATGTACTTTAAGGTAGAGAAGCTGTAATCGAGACGGCAACACAACAAGACAAGCTAACAAAAATAATACATCGATGATCAGATGATCCAAAAAGATTTTCAGTGAACCACTGACAAGTGCAAACACAGTTTAACAGACTTTAAGGTAGATAAACTGTATCATGTGTATATTGCTATCTTGGATTATAAAGTGGCAGTCCACAATCAGTCTAGTTCTTTTCCAAAATCTGTAAATTTTGAGACTAAATGGCAACTTTTGTGTAACACTGTGTTTTTAAGGAATGATAGATACATGATTAAGTGTACTATTAAGACTGTTTTTGATAAATTTTTGTGTTTTTTTTTCAACTTGGCCATTTAAGGTGAGATAATTCGAATAGTATTTTTTTTAAGGAATGTTAATCAAGTATTCATTTTTAACGTGTACCAAGAAAACAAGTTCGATGACACATTTCTTTTTATTTTCTAAAAGAATATTATAAAACCTACAATTTAAAATGCTGTCGGATAGATATCTTTCTTTTCACAAAAAAGTGTTTTTCCATGAATAATCTATGCAAAATTTGCCAATTTAGCTCAATTTGTAGCTTAAAAATAGCATGGTGACCTACATTTGTTATTACATTTTTGAAAAAGCATGGTCAAATCTACATTATGGCCAAAAAAGAAAATTCTATCTGACGAATTATTAAGTGATATTCCACCTTAAATGGTTCTGCTACCAGACGAAATTATTTTCAGCTGAGTCAAAAACATGTCTGAAACCAACAACAAATAATATGATAATATGATTTTCTTCCATTACAAGTATAGTATTTTACAGAATGTCTATTTGGTTTTTGTCATTTGTGTTCATTGCATGAACGGATGTTTATACATCATTTTTTATTCTATATCTTAACTATAAGGGACATCTACAATTGAAATCTACATTAAATCCTTAATTTGATAATTTATTTTATCAAGAACCTTTTTTTATTCTGCGACCGAGTTACATGATTTATAAACATGAATGAAATTTATTTTCACCCATAAAAAGCTAACACTGAAAAGTCTTCCGTTTTTACATTTTAGAGAACAGTATAACAAAAATTAAAGATTAATCAAAGGTAACAAGAAAGAAGATAGAAAGCAAGGTAATGCTATTTAGTACAAACATTTTCAAAAAAGTGCGAATACAGATAAAAGTTTTGAAAATGAGAACAACAGCAATAGTCACAGAGAAAGTTCGAGAAAATGCATTTTTAGTTACTTAGATATTTTTTTCCTGGTACGTGTATTGGTTATAGAAATTAGGGCATGTTTTAAACATAAAAGCAACGCTAAATCATGTAGAGCTTCCAGTTAATTGTTAAAGGTATATATGTATATGTACATGTAAAGCCAGGAGCCAGAATACGCTTCCAGTTGACCGTTAAAGACTCATACTATTCACTAAGTCTGAACGCTACAATAAACAAACAAATATAAAGAATAACTAAACAACTTTTATATTTTTGTATAGACTGAACAACAGAAAATGTCAAAACCATCTGATTGTAGCATTCTCTTTGATTCCTTTCTGTATCGTTTAATTTGGTATTAATGCTGGCTAATTTCGAAGCTCAGTCATTTTCGCATGTGCAATTTACTAATTGTTTTTTGAGGGAAGGGGTTGCAAAGTGTGACTTCATTGTCTGTCAGTTATACTAAGTTGCTGTATACATGGTATAGATGTATATATATAGCTTATACAACATAAAAGAGCAAAGTAAAACCACTAACACTTGAATCAAGAATATGCCTTACTTGCTAAGGTAAGTTAATTTTAAAGAAAAAAGAAAGAATCAAGAGAGTAGCTCTTTATGCTGCGATCACATAGACAACAGTAATGTTATATAATTATGATAAAGTGTAAAAAAAAGAAAAGCTATTTACCTTGTATTTACTAATTTTAATGTTTATTTTTTTAAACTTAAAACAATTATCTATTGTAGGTATGGTGAACAACTTTATGTGTATATGCTAGTTTTTACATTGTATAGAACAGCATACCATATGTACCAGGAACAATGACAGAATAACGATTTACAATGTAAATACAATTATATATACATAACAATGACACACTCTAAAGTGGGATGTAAAATACTATTCATATTTTCAGACTGAAGCAGAATTTGTTTGTATAACAAAGCAGCATTATGTCAATTTAATGTAACTTCCTGTCCAGATTTATACAATAATTGAGCGTTCATTACGACTCACCATCCGCATTTATACCTGTCAAAGATAAGGACCTACAAATGTTTTTGTTTATAACATTTATGTCATTTCAATTTGACCTCTTTTTTTTAACCTGCTTGCCACGTTATTACTAGTGACCTAAACATTGTCAATAACACTTTTCTGTGAAATGTGTTATCCAAAGGCCCGAAATATCGTGAGCCTTAATCCATCAATTGGAAACACAACTTCAAAACACTGATGGATTCAGTCGAGGATTAAGCCAGGCAATTGGTTAAACGAGAGAAAGAAGACGTATATACTCTTTCCGAATGGATTGAGACTAAGAGGTCTTGATACAAATCAGAATTAAGAAACTGCATGGGTCTATGAATACCCATGCTACATCAATCTTTGAGGACCCAAATGTTGCAAAACACTTGTCCTATATATACATAGCTACCTCCATGGCAAATATATTGTTGTCCCCGCAGATAAAGCCCCAAATAATATTGTTTGTGTGTGTAAATCACATTACATAAACTGCTTGATGAATTAATTAGGTATTGACATTTCACTTGGAAACTCAACATATACCCCCACGACACTTACCAAAGAGGAAGTTCTGGATAATCATAGGTCTGTTCTATGATCTTCCAAGTGCTCCACGAAACCTCTTTCAAAATTATTAAAATCAATTTTATCAACAATCAAAACTGGGCTTCAAAGTTATTGTGAAACTATTTATTCTAATGGTGGCGTGAATCAGACATGGATACTCAAAAAATCCAAAGATCTTTTAGAATCCAAGACTCTTTCATCTTGCAATAGTATCAAAACATTTAACTTTTCTACACTTTACACAAGTATGCCCAATTCTAAACTAAAATACAAATTAAAAGAGTTAGTCCTGCTTTGTTTCATAAAAAAGAATGGCCAACGTAGATACAAGTATCTTGTCTTTTGGAGGGATAAATCTTACTTTGTAAAAAATCACTCTGATTCAAACAAAAAATTCTCTGAAACTGACATTATCAAGATGCTTGATTTCTTGGCAACATATTTGTTACGTTAAGAGGACGTGTTTTTTAACAAACAATCGGCATTCCCATGGAAACCAACTGTGACGCTCTTCTTGCCGACTTGTTCCTTTGTTCATATGACGCTGACTTTATGCAGGAACTTCTTAGGAAGAAAGAAAAGAAGTTAGCAGTGTCCTTTACCTTTACCATGTTTACTTTCCAGTATATAGATGATGTTCTCGCACTAAATAATTCAAAATTTGGTGTCTATGTTGAACGCATCTATCCCACCGAACTTGAGATAAAGGATACAACAGATACACTTAAATCTGCCGCATATCTTAACTTACATCTAGAAATTGACAATGAAGGTCGGTTGAAAGCAAAACTTTACGACACAAGAGGGACGAAAGATAACAGAGGGACAGTCAAAACTCACAGATCGAAAACAAACTGACAACGCCATGGCCAAAAATTAAAAGACAAGCAGAAAAATAATAGTACAGATGACACAGCATAGAAAACTAAAGACTAAACAACACGAACCCCACCAAAAACTGGGGTTGATCTCAGGTGCTCCAGAAGGGTAAGAAGATCCTGCTCCCCATGTGGCACCCGTCGTGTTGCTAATGTTATTACAAATCCTGCAAATAGTCTAATTCGGTAGGTCACATTCGTGAAAAGGGAAGGGTATTGTAGTTACGACATAAGGAAAATATCCGATATCATCTGTGAAACGGTTTTTCCATAACGGTCAACCAACTCGTGATGGCGTCCGTTAAATTTACGAAGGGATGATTTCAACTTCACCATTTGGAACTCTTGGTTTAATAGCTTCCTTGTGAGCAGCAATCCTCTATCAAGGAAATCATGATAGGAAATACAAGCCCGGGAATATCGTATCAATTGTACCTCCGTATGCAGGTGCTGCTGGAATGTTGCTACATAGAAATGGAAAGTTCACAATTGGGAAGCTGAAATCATCTCTTTTGTCGTAAAGTTTTGTTTTCAACCGACCCTCATTGTCAATTTCTAGATGTAAGTCAAGATATGAGGCAGACTTAACTGTATCTGTAGTATCCTTTATCTCTAGTTCGATGGGATAGATTCGTTCAACATAGTCACCAAATTTTATATTGTTTAGTGAGAGAACATCATCTATATAGCGGAACGTAAAGTTAAAGGATATTGCTAACTTCTTATCTTTCTTTCTAAGAAGTTCCTGTATAAAGTCAGCCTCATAATAAAGAAACAAGTCGGCAAGAAGAGGGGCACAATTGGTTCCCATTGGAATTCCGACAGTCTGTTGAAAAACACGTCCTCCAAACGTAACAAATATGTTGTCAATCAAGAAATCAAGCATCTTGATAATGTCAGTTTTAGAGAATTTTTTGTTTGAATCAGAGTGATTCTTTACAAAGTAGGATTTATCCCTCCCCAAGACGAGATACTTGTATTGAGATGATGAGCAGTTTCCCAATTGCAAACTTTCCATTTCTATGTAGCAACAGAGATCACCCCCAGTTTTTGGTGGGCTTCGTTTTGCTCAGTTTTTAGTTTTCTCTGTTGTGTTTTGTGTACTTTTGTTTGTCTGTTTGTCATTTTTTTTAGCCATGGCGTTGTCAGTGTATTTTCGACTCATTCGTTTGAATGTACTTTTGGTATCTTTCGCTTCTCTTATGTTACTTCCAATTCTTTGAACAAACACAATTATAGTTGGAACGAACATTAGGTGATTAACGTGTCACATATGATCTTGAAATTATTCCATTTTGTAGTTACAATCTCGTCCCATTTTTCACGCTTGTGAAATCATTGCATGCAACAAATAACAAGATGAACACGACAGGCAGGCGTCACTATAATGTAAATGGAACTGCGTATCTTTGGAAACACATGTAATCATCCTTTAATATTTATTCAACTTTTGTTTGTCATTGTGTCTTATTTGTTCCCGCGACCGGGAGTAAAATAGTTTTTAGTTTTATCCGTCAGCCTATCTCACCATTTGTCCGCCCATGCACTCTTCCATTCGAAATTCAACAGCATTCAGACATTCTTTGAGAGAAAGCTTGCATAGATAGTAAAATTGCCACCATGCATTTTTTAAAATAACAACGTCATGTTGACTCGAGCACGATGAAATGATGTGAACGCAACACCTTTCTTACCGATCGACAGAAACTACCATATCTCCCACTTTAGCCAGCAATATACCAACTTCAACTGCATATGGGATAAACGTTTCCAAACTCATTGGATATTGAAGAGCTTGCAGCTGCTACTCTGACTTTAAAACGTTATCAGTGTCTGAGCAGAAAGTTGATGAACCAGGATTATGTCAAAAAAAAAAAAACGTTTCGTCCTTTTTCTAAAAATTTCATCGGAAGATACCAAGACCTTCTTGATGAATATTCCGTTTCAACTTCAGAAATAATAGATGATGGTCTTGAAGTAAAATTCTATGTACTGACGTTGTTTATAATCTTAATTACATGTTATATTGTTCTTTTTATTTTATTTTTTGTATATATTTAACCTTTACTGTTTAGTCCATTTTTGGCAATATCCTTTTGGCGTGGCTCAGTATTTATACATCCCGCCATTGTGTTATTGTGCTATGGTAATTTTTTGTATTCTAGTCTTTCATTTTTGCTAATGTGCTTTGCCTATAGAGTGAAATTGAGAATAGACATGGGGAATGTGTCAAAGAGACAACAAAACCCGACCAAATAGCAGACAACAGCCGAAGGCTACCAATGTGTCTTCAATGCAGCGAGAAACTCCTGCACCTGGAGGCGTGCTTCAGCCGGCCCCTTAACAAAAATATATACTAGTTCAGTGATAATGGACGTCATACTAAACTCCGAAATATACACAAGAAACTAAAATTAAAAATCATACAAGACTAACAAAGGCCAGAGGCTCCTGACTTGGAACTGGCGCAAAAATGCGGTGGGATTAAACATGTTTTTTGAGATCTCAACCCTCCCCCTATACCTCTAGCCAATGTAGAAAAAAAACAAACACACAACAATACGCACAGTAGAACTCAGTTCAAAAGAAGTCCAAGTCCGATGTCAGAATAGGTAACAAAAGAAACTAAACAAAATGACAATGATACATAAATCAACAAAGGACTACTAGCAGTTACCGACATGCCAGCTCCAGACCTCAGTTAAACTGATTGAAAGATTATGTTTTCATCATATGAATATCAAGTACAATCCCTCCCGTTAGGGGTTTAGTATTATACCATCATAAAATATATGAGAAGAACATAACCCGTATCATGCCAACAACTGGTTTTAGAATAAATGTGTTTATTTCCGATGCAAAGACCCTATAAGTGAATCAGTATAAAAGCCAAAATATGCAATTTTTAATGACCTGACAACAGTAACTATATCCCTTCTTAATAAGTCTGTTTAAAGGTTTTGTTAGCTTTTGAGGTGAATGCCGACATTTTTGTGCTTTGTAAAGAATATTTCCATAAAAAATTGGATGTGAAATACCTGAACGTTTAAGATGTCTGCATGTTGAATTATATTTACGAAAGATGTCCTTGTACCGATGATAAAATTTAGTAAATGTTGTCTATATGCCTTTTTGTTTTTCTTTGTTGGTATAGTTGTTTGTTTTATAGTGAATAAGGTTATAACACAATGTTAACTGTTGTACCCTTATTTTTTCACCTATTATATAGAAATAATAAGATGTGGTATGAGTGCCAATGAGACAACTCTCCATCCAAGTCACAATTTGTAAAAAGTAAACACTTATAGGTCAAAGTACGGCCTTCATGTCTGTTTGTTTTGCTAACACAAGGTTGTCAATATTATGGAATTCTATGCGACTGTCATACAAGTGAGAGGTTTAGTTAGCTTAAAACCCAGGTCTTATCAACCTTTTTCTTCATAAGGAAATGCCTGTACCAAGTCAGAAATATGACAGTTGTTTTCCATTCGTTTAATGTGTTTTAGCTTTTGATTTTTCCATTTGATAAGGAACTTGCCGTTTTGAATTTTCCTTAGAGTTCGGTATTTTTGTTATTTTATTTTTCATTTCATTTTTTATTTAGGATTGGTTTTCGTCTTGTGCAGTTGACCATATTGTACCGTCATTTTGATTCCATATATTTTTTGGAAGGTATGGGACTTTGATTGTTTGAGACTATATTTACATTTGACCCCTGGTAAACGTAATTTCTCTGAGACCGTTTTACAAAACGCTCTGATATTTGTTAGTATTGTTTTTCTTCAAGTGTTGTTGACCATATCATACCGGCTGTTTTCTCACCATTTTAACACTCTATATACCTTGGAACGACAAGAATACCAACAAAAAATTCAAAAGCTCGAAAAGCTTGTTATCTATGCTCCTGTTTAACTTGTTCCTATGCATTCAACTTAAATCCTCGTTTTGGCACAAATCTTTGGAATTTTCGGGTTTTAATGCTCAATTTATTGTTGGTTTGGTATTCCAAATGTTTTGTTTCGAAAGCCACTGATGTGTCCTATATAAAAATAAGAAGAGTTGGTATGATTGTCAATGAGACAATTCTCCACCAGAGACCAAATGACATATAACTTAACAACTATAGGTCACCGTACGGCCTTCAACAATGAACAAAACACATACCACAAAGTCATAAATAAAAAGCCTTTAAGTTGACTAACGCATATCTGTCGTAGCGAAGCCTGGTATTTTTGACGATTTTTTCGATGCCACTGCCGGTATTTAGTTTATACCAAGGTCAATAGTCAGCAATTGTGTGTTGACATAATGTATCATGAATATGTTTATTTTTTGTCAATTACTAGTAACTTATTTATTAAATATCGGAATTATTCGAAACACTTTTTTTCTACCTCCATGCTAAGATTGTCTTTTTTTTTTTCGTTTTTAATCCTCTTCCGCTTCATGTTTGATTTGGACTTCCAACTGTTTAGATTCCAGCGCCCCTTATGAAAATTTTGTTGACGAAACGCGCGTGTGTCGTAACAAGGTATAGGCTTGATATCTTTGATGATTTTTTTCACAGCGGCGTGGGACATTTGCTTCGGCGAGCAAACTTGTTTTTTTGACAATGATGTAGTTGTTTTAACGAATAGTTTGATGGTCTCATTGGTATACATTTGTAGTTGACCCTTATGTAAACGTATCTAATCTCTTGAACCCGATGTTTTGATACGTCTTTGTCAATGAAAAAGCATTTGTTTCTCAAACAAGTACAATAGAATCAAACAATTTATTCATTCCACGAAAATGCATTATATATATTTGAATGTCAACTTACAAATCAAGATTCATTAAAAATGAGTAGAAACAATCTAAGTAGTAAACAATGAGGTTAAATAATAAAACAAAGCAGACAATACAATACCCAATAAACCAGCAAAACGTAAAACAATATTAACAAAAATAGATATTGTATGATTGCCAGGTTGAAAACTAGCAACCAGCATTCAAATGACGCGGATGCAAGCAACTATAATAGATCACAATACGGCCTTTGACAATTAGCATTACCAAACTAAATAGTAAGAACCTCTGAATATATTGGGGTCATTTCAGATGATCTAAATGATAAGCATGAGTTCCTACTCCACCCTAATATTGAAGCCCATACCTTTAAATATACCCAACCATTTTGGTTTGAAATTAAACAGTTCCTACTAATAATCTTTGAAATAATCCTTTGAAAACGGTACCTTTTTCTAGCAATTTTCATAAAATAGTACACAATCGTTTTCAAATGAATAATATAACAATTCATATGCCTATTTTTTGTTTATAACAGAAATTATTGTTTTTAAATGATTGAGATACTATTTCATATTTTGAAAAAAAGCATCGCCCTGTATTCTGTTGCTATTCACGTAATTCATACAAAATGATATGGCATAAATTGACATAAACCTATAAGATTCATTGGTGATAGAAAGTATACAGTCGTCATTTTCCTTGAACTATATATATCCCCAGTACATTCTGTGTGCTTAATCATAAATATTGTTTTTCTTTTGCGACCGCACTAAAATACACGTAACCGGTGTGATGACATGCGTTTATTTTCTGTAAATTCTAGTGTATGTAAAATTAAGTTATTTTAAATACCTTATACTTTCAGAAATGTATTAAATTCGCCATTGTACGCCATGTTTATTGGCACTACTGTAACAGTTTTGTTGCGCATTTTATATAAAATTTGGAGGTTTAATACTACAATTAATAGACCAATCGTCCTTATCAAACTTATTATAATCAGTAGAATACATGTATTAGTTACATGTATTCGATGTTCATGTGACGATTCGTGGTCAATAGAAATTAAGATCCTCTGTTGTCTAGATATCTACATTTGTATGGCAAGAGAGGATGCATACTTGGCCAGGTTATGTGTGGTCCCTCAAATGAACCTTTGTATCCACAGTCAATATATTGTCCAAAGAACTCATAAATTGACTGACCTATCAAAGGATCACCTAAATATTCACTCAATACCCCTTCAGTTTCATCTTCCCGATTATATAAGCATATTTTCCATGTTGGACGGTCTGATTGTGTTCTTACTTTACTATTTACCAGTTTTGTACGGTCAGTCCACCTACTATAAGTGGAAAATTTAGTATTAGAACTTTTTCCATCAATTTTGTCTTTGGTTGTGTCCATGTTGAAATGTATATCCTGTTGAATCTTGTTTATCTCTTGTTGGAGTCTCTTAATAATCTCGGCTAAGGTATCTTCTATGTCCTTAATTTTGCTCGATATACTTTGCTTACCATATAAATCTTGATTAAGACTGTAACATGTTTTAATGAACCCCTCATTCTCTGTTTTGACACGTTCCGGAAATTCCAGATCGTCTATTTTCTGGATCTCTAATTGTATACATGGAATTAGGTCTTTCAACTTTCTAACCCTTTGACCATTGTTAAGCAACTGCAGTAGTTTTGCGAACTGGAATGCCGTATATCTACTGAGACCTGTTAAAACCTCCACTCTGACCTCACTTTCTGTTTCGGAAATACACAATATATCGATAAAGTTTGTTTTTTCAATATCCTCTATATCTAAATGCACCAGAGCACAGGGAGAATACAGCACACCTTTCATGTGAAACAGAAATAATGTCTCTCTTTTCCGAGATCTATTTTCCTTGATAAACGTAACCGATTCTAGTAAAGATGAACTGCCATTAAAATGAAATATTTTCGAGCTGTATGATACCAATTCTACTGGAAATCCTCGATGATATAGCGTCTGCAAAAGGAAAACATTTGCATAAAAAACATCGAGTAAAGAACAAAACATGACAATTGTTTAAATGTTTTTATCAAAAGAACAAAATCTACAAAGCAGCTTATACATGTATTGCACACCAAGTGCTTAATAAAATCAAACATGAAAAAGGCATGTTTTATCACAGAGCTTAGAGGTATATGATAGAAGTTTTTAATGGTATCTAGATTTACCTTAATTTAACATTTTGCAGGATTGAGGTTATATTCATGCGGATTTAAATATGCTGTTATATAATCCTCCAAAAAAAAGCATTATAAAACCGACTATCAATTAAGAACATAATGACAGAAAGGCTTTCCACTATCCTGTAGGTTACACTTTGTAAATATAGCTGATTTACAAAGCAAGCGGTTTTTGGGAGATACTTGTTAATATTTATCATGTTCATAGGTATTTTGGGTTTTTTATCTACTGATTCCTAGATATGATCTTCATATTTCATCTCATAGAGACAAAACTTGGGAATTTTACTAGTATAAATACAGTTTGATATTGGTAAAATTGAATTATCTAAAAGTTCAGGGAAGGTCGGTACATAATTTCAGTATGAGTTTAAACTCTTAGAAGTTCGAGGCATATTAATTTTGAAAATATGCCACCCGATCCTATGTTTTGACAGTGCAAACGATAGTAGTGCATATGAACTTCCCATTCCAGAATATATTTTTCACGAAATTTCATAGTAGAAGTGTGACAGTTTTAGTCGTTAAAGGATTCCCTATCTGAAATTGCACTGGTTTATTAATATTTTATTCAGACTGAGAAAAAAATTGAGCCTTAATTATGACCATGATGACTCGGCATAAAAGATAGGCGAAAGATACTAGAGGAAAATTCAAACTCATAAGAAACAGACATAGAAAGCTAACGCCATTCACACTTTACAGTATGCATAGTTTACTTCAAGCTCTGCATGCAAATTAATTTCATAAAATATGCATGTTTGTACTTAAAATTGTTATGAACATGAAGAAGTGCTTATATTTACTTTTCGAAGTCATTGAAACTCATTTAGGTTTAAGAACATTAGTGTTTGGTCTTGTCGAAAACACACAAGTAATCCATAACACTTTACTGTGCTTTCTTATGACCATGGAATCGAATAGTACAAGCTATAGACACAAAACTACCTTTATAAAACATATAATGGTGTGTTCTCTTCTTAAACATCACAGGCTCAAAACAGAGTGAACAATTCCTTACTTCTGGGTCAAAAAATTAAAGATTTAACCTATAAAGGCTATGATTTTATTGTTATGAACGTCTTTTTTTTTTATAGAAAACAATAATCTTTCTATGAAGTTATGCAAAAAATATGATTTTAACGGTCAGTTCTATAAAACTTTATTGAATTATACATGTTATATATCAAATTGGTAAATATAACTTTTGCAAACGTGAGTTTTTAAAAACTTCTGGTTCAAATATAAGCCGTATAAAAAGACATTTAGCATATTCTGAAATGCTTCTAATTTGTCATCAAAGTAGTTTCATACAGGTTCTAGGCATTTCATGTCAGCAATTATGCACATACGGTAAGCTGACAGTAATTTAATATTCAAATATAAAAATAAGAAGGTGTGGTACGATTGGCAATGAGACAACTCTCCACAAGAGACCAAACAGCGTAGCAGTCATGTTTGCAAATCCTTAAAAAATGAAACAGAGGTGGGGTATTAAATGTACTCTTAAGGAAAATCAGAGTATATGTAGTGATTTGTTTTAAGGCAATAATTTGATAAAAAAGGAATAACAAAAATACTGAACTCCAAGGTATATTCGAAAACGGGAAGTCAAATCAAACGTTAAATTGTATCGACCAACGGAACTAATGGAAAACAACTGTCATATTCCTGACTTGGTACATGCCTTTTTCGTAGTGGGTTAAACCTGGTTTTATAGGTAGCTTATTCTCCCACGTGTATGAGATAAATAAGAATTTTTGTTAGATTTTTCTATTTGAAAACATGTACGTATATAAATAAAACCTTTAATTCAAGGCAATATTGCTTTCTATATAAAATTTTTCAAATTACAACATTCATAGTCATTTTGTCTTAAAATAAAGTGACAACCAATTCATCTCAAAACACTACCGTACCCTGACTTGTGATGAAAAAATCAATATAACTTTTAATATATGTAATAGTGCGCTGGTTCTCTGAGGTTAAGAAGTACGAAACCGGTAAAAATGTACTTCTGATCTGATTGAGAAACAGGCAAAATATGTACTTTAACCTCCATTTCATACATTTATTATCATTCAAACCAAACCTTCAAAAGGGTTTAAACAGTGATAACAGCTCCTTAAGTATAATTTCATGAGTATAAAATCAACCAAAAAATTTACATATTTTGTAAGTTACAGCTTTTCGTTCCTGTATATTCTTTCTGGTCGACCTAAATATCTAGTTCTTTATCTGTTTTTATTTTATCCCATTGATCATCTTTAATACATATTATCCCAATAACTATCTGAGCTAATCCGATTTGACGGAGAAAAGATTTTCTTGAATTTCATATTGATTCTTAAGGTGGCTGGGTGGTATAAATATCTAATATAGGATTTGGCTAATACTTTTTATAAATGAACTTTATCATATATTAAGTGGAAAATAAAAATAAAAAAATGGGTTCACCGTCTAGTTAAATTTTTTTGAAGGGTTCAAGTTTATTGGTTTTATTCAAGATTACTATAGAAATGATAGGGAAATGAATACATAGCCATCTTTTTTGAAGAATTTCTCATGAAACCTAATATAGGATTTTCTAATGTTTGTGTTTGTTCAGTTGCTGAAATAGTCTTTTTAAATAATAAAAAATAAAATCAACAAGTCACCGTCTAGTTAAGACAAAAAATGTACATCATTAAAAATAATGAGCATTTTTTCAAAAAGGGAGATAACTCTGTCTTTTACACATTTTTCTAATTTTGAAACCAGATATAGAAAGACCTGGTTATAAAAACTAGTTATACCTTCTATACATGTAAAACCATATATTATATATATAACATTTCCAAACAGTTGATTTGCATATTGGTTGCCATGGCAACCAGCAGTCAAAATGGAAAATCACTAATTTTTGGGGATTTTTTTTAATTTTCAGTTCAAATTCAATACCAAACAATTTGAAAAATGAGCAGGCAGTATCTATTACAATAGGGGTGTTTTTTTTTTTAGAACCTGCATATTTATATGGACTGTGGAATCCCTGAGGCAAATAGTTCTTAGTTTTTTTCTCCGTTCACTTGTTTAATACCACTGGTTTCAGTTGATAATTTTAGTATCTCTTGCTTGATTGTAATAAAACTTGCCTTTTTTATGAAACCTAGAGACTCACTCAGACACCTGACTTAAACTGATTTTTCAGTTTACAAGACAATCCCTCATCTGCAATAAATATCCCACCTCAGGGACCTCTAACATTAGTATTCCAATTTTGATGAAACTTTGTAAGGTATTTTTATTTTATTTGTGTTTTGTACATAAATCAGGCTATTTTGACATGTTTGAATTGCCTTACATTTGTCATTTGGTTTTATAGCTTGCCAATCGGTATGGAGTTGGCTCATTGTTGAAGGCCATAGGGGGACATATAGCTCTTAACTTCTATCTCTTTTGGTCTCAGGTGGCAATTTTTCTCAGTGGCAATCATGCCCCGTATATCACACCTTTTTATATATATTTGAAATTTTAAACACAATGCTGACAAATATAGCACACAGGACAGCTTCTATGTTTGTTGTATAATGGAATTATTACAGGTGCATATCTAAGTTTGACATGGACAAATTCTTCTTTCATTTCCTAGTACTTGTTTATGTATAAAAATTAATACATGAGATAGTTGAACCTGATAAACCCGCCATTTAATCCTTTTTTATACCTGTCAATTTATCCGTTTTATGCTTTTGAAATTACATACATAAAAAATTTCAGGTTAAATAGTTTTTGTATTAAATAGAAAATGTGTCTATAAGACACAGGATGTCCTGCCATTAAATGTAGGTCACAGTAATCAAATTGTTGATGACCTGTGTGGTATCATAAAAGAATACTGTAGTGATGATATATCACAATAGGTTTCTGTGAAATAAACCTAAACACAAGACTTAACCAAAGACACAAAAGCAATAAATGTAGGTCAAAGTGACTCAAGTAATGTATAGTACTACTAGTATACAAGATGTCTGTGGAGAAAAAATATCACTGATATATTACCATTAGTTTCTGAGAAATAGAGATAAATGCAAAACTTTACTGGAAAGGGATGTACATACTTATGGACTGACAAAGGTGTACTAGTATCAATCTATATAATCCATCCACATTTGTGGCAGGGCATAATAAAATCCAATCTTGGTAACTTTTTCAAACAAATATAAATAACAACATGCAGTATTGTGACAAAAGTACTCATTTATGATCAAATTTCAGTTCCCATAAATTACTTATTTAGATTCAATAAATTCCCCAAAAAAATTAACTAATTTAAAAGTGTTGAAAAGCATGGTTTGATTAGTAGCAGGCCAACTTTACAGGTTTATTCTATTCATATGATTTTCTTTTCACAGTGTGCCAACTTTAAAAAATCCTGTTCTGTATAATCAGTTATGCAAATACTAGTCCCCCCTTCCTCCCTCTTACAATTAATTTAAGTGCACACATGTTTTTTATGCTAAAACAGTGTTTTTGAGATTTATAAAGTTCTCAACAGTAAATTATTTTGATAAGTGTACCTGTTTCATTTCATATACTACCTTTATTTTCTTTGGTAGGATAGTAAGTTCACCAAATACAATGAACATGTGTATGACAATTGGGACTAAAATTACATGCAAGTTTTCCACTATAAATTGAAAAATATATTGCATCAGCATACATTGTTCTTCTTAACATATGCAAAAACAATCTATTTCCTATAGCTTCTGTATTAATTTTTATGTGTAAATATGC